CACCAACTTGAACAAACCCAGACACCTTTACAACAGCTATAACCTTTGATAGTTTGCGAACACGATGCTTGCTTCTCTGAACATGTAACTCTCTTTCTTCGGCAGTTTGCGAACGTGATGTTTGACTTTGCATGTGCAGTACCAGACCTGTCATGGATGAGAGTGCTGCGTGCAGTGCCAATGTGCCGAGCCAGGACAATGCAGAAGCTCACACATGTGATGAACTGTTACATGTGCCTCAAGTGAGAGTCCTAGCGACATTCTTCCTCACCACGTGGGCAGGCAGGAGTAAGCCCTGTCGCAGCGGATCGAGGGCCGGATGATGTGCCTTTTGCTCGCAATGATGGCGGGCCTGCTGACCCGAGATGGCTTGGCGGCCCCAGAAGGACATCGGCCCGGAGACGCACCCCATGCATTACCCGATCCGCCGGAAGCACGAGGCGCACAGGGAAAGGACCCTGAAACCCCGCGGGAACCACGTCGACCCAGAAGCAAAGCCCTAGCAGTACACGAGCCGCGGGAACACCAGCCCGGAGCGATGAGCAGCAGAAGCGGCTGTGGTGGGGAGGACCTACATCGACATGACCGTGCAGCCCCACCGCAAGTTTGCCGACCTGGAAGTGTACTTCACCGATTACCCGATTCCCCGGAAGAACGATGCAGGATCCCTCGAGGCTCACAGCCCCAGCCCATCGGTGAAAGCTCGGATGAAGATGACGATGACCGGGCCTGGAGTTCGGGCATGTCGTGCTTGGAGGAGCTTGCTGCCATCGGTGCCTGGGAGGCGGACTACGAGGTTGTTGGCATGATGGCAGCGGTCCGAAGGGCCATCAGCCTCCACGCCGCGCGAGGGCCCCAGGCAGGGCAAGCTCGCTGCCTGTATGCGGCGCTGTGCTGGGGTGTTCCTCCCACGATGGTCCACTGGGCGGAAACTTCAGACCTTGGCCCCGCCTCGGCAGCCCAGGAACGGTGGGCACAAAACGCCACGGATGTGATCCTGAAGCTGGTGGCGCTATGGCAGCCGCGGGAGGTCGACACAAATGCGGACGAGATGGCGATGGTCAACAAGAAGTGGCTGCTCAAGAAGGGTAAGCCGCGAGCTGAAACAGTCAAGGAAATATGGGACAAAACACCGCCAAGCTGCAGATCCGTCTCGACAGTGCGCCTCGTGCCTGGACCGGGTCGTGCACTGCTGTCGCGGAGGCCCCTTGCACATGGGTCAGTACCGTGGAGGCAAGCGGATGATGTGGAGCCGGATACAGTCGAGGTCGAGGTTGAGGAGTGCAGCCCGACAGCGGCCACCCAGGAGGAGACGCCGGAGCTTACACCGTACCAGGTCTGGAAGCTGCTTCTGGGGTTCACCGAGGAGTCCACACTCACCATCACTAGTGTCTCGCAGGAAGGCATCCTCCCTAGCTTTGTCTATAATAACATCATCGAGACCCTGATGGACCAGGATGATGAGGACTTCGAGGCCTTCGAGAATGACCTGGGCCAGATTCTGGGAGACCTCACGGTGACGCTTCGGGACATCATCGACACTGTCAGAGAGAATCGCCGCCGGAAAAAGACGGAGGAGCCGCCGGCTACAGACGACCCAGGTCAAGAAGGAAGAGACCCCCCACACGATAGAGGGGGCCCTGGAAGCGAGGGTGACAACACGGCGGAAGTGACGGCTTTCATGCAGCGCACAGTGACGGGAGTGCTCAAAGGGCCCCGTCCCGTGGAGTCCCAACAGCAGGCACTTCATGCAGAACTCCAGCGATATGAGGACCTGAAGGCTGCCCGACTGTCGCGAGCACTTCTGAAGCGCTTGCAGGGCAGGGAACATGCGGTGGAAGAGGGCGACGCTGTGTGCGCGGTCCTTCTGGCTCATGTGGACGCGGAGGCTGAGACTGTTTGCTGTGAAGAGGAGCAGGAGTGGGTCACCAAGTGGGAAAGAATGCTGGCAGGAGGCACAGTGACAGGCGAAGCCAGGTCCTCCACTGATCCAGTCGGTGTGGTGAACGCAGTGGCTGCTGACCAGGCCCCGGTGATCGCGGTGGATCAGGAGACCCAGCTGAACCAAAGTGACCAGGATGTCGCGCTCTACGAGTGGCATCTTGCCAAAACGAGGGAAGATGAACAGAGGCGCGACCGCAACCAGATTGCTGCAATGGCTGGATGGTCAGTGCAGCCGGGCCCGAAGAGAATGCGCCTGGCGGTGGAAGCAGGCTCCCGGGCTGAAGGTGGACACAGAATGCTCCTTGATGTGGCAGAAGGGGAGGAGGTCAGGCTGACGATCCGGGCAGTCATGGAACAGGGGCCTGACGCGTACCTGTATGCAGGCCAACCCGTGGAGGCGAAAGAAGCAATGGAGGCCATCCGACTTGAAGAGGGCAGTGGCAGCCGGGTGACCCCACGTCTGGGGACCAAGAGCTGATGTACCAGAGGTGGCTCCAGAGCTTAGAAAATGACAGAGATATAGTGCGAGCCTTCGGTTTCTCGACCCTCCTTCAGTACCGCAACCGAGCATGGGAGGAAGAGCAACAGTGGAGAAGGGAGGCAAACCAGGCCAGAGAACGTCGCCAACAGGAATGGAAGAGCCGAGCTGCCGAAGCCCGCCGCGAAGCATTGGTGCAAGGTGATGATGAGCCATGCCTGGCCCGACGTGGTGAAGCTGAGCCTGGGCAGACTGGGTCCGGTCGACAACGTGACCCTCCTGGAAATGCCGGGGCGGTATTCGATGGCTCAAGGCAGCCACATGCTCTGCCCGACCCAGCTGCGCCGAGGGACCCAGCCGAGCAGGACACCGAGCCCTATGAAGATGAGGCGACATCGCCGAGTGTGCGCTGCCCCCCTGATCTGCAGCAAACGGCATTGGATGATAGCGATGGTGAGGACCTGTACCGCATCTCGGAGGAGATGGAACAACACAGGGCACTGCAGAGAATGGGGGATGATGACCTTTACAGACTGTGGGGCCAGGGCAAGGTGACCAGCCAACAGTTGGCGGATGCAGGTGGGCAGTCGCTGGTCAACCGGCTGGTGCAGCGCAAGCGAGCGGAGCGGAAGGCCAGTGGAGCGCAGCAGGCGGGCGCCGACATGGGCGCCATAGGCAGCGGACAACGGTCTGAGCACCTGCGCTGGGTGAAAGAGCAGCCCCGCCACCATGTGGATGCGATGTTTCTGGCTGGAGATCTCTCGGATGTGGACGTGCTTGAGCTATGGGGACCCGGAATGCTGAGGGAGTTAGCCCAGATGAGATGGGACCGGCGCCGTGCTGACGAAGTGGCTCGAGAGGAGGACATCCAACAAGGCGGTCCGAGGCGCCGACGTGGAGATCGTTCGGATAGTCACGACTGACCGGCCGAGTGACTCAGGTCTGAGTAGCATGTCCTGCGAAATTTTCGGTTCCTGGCACTCTGCAGAGTTGATAATGGTGTAATACCCTATGTCTACCTATTGTGCCTGTAGTATTTGACCCGAGTGACGGAATGGACTGATGCGGATCTGTAGGCCTCATCATGCACCAAGGCCTGTTTGAGAGTAGGCCTCATCATGCAGCAAGGCCTGTTTGAAGGTTAGTGTCACGAGGGTTGTTTCTTATGCTGGCATGATTGCTGATCTGGAGCTTGGATGCATTGGCCTGCCTTGCCGGTACAGAGTACCAACTGAGTGTTGGTCGGTGGCAAGGGTTCATTTGTGGTGCCCAGCCCCAGTGACAACCTATGGGTAGCATTAGTGGTGTGGTGGTGGTGAATCGCTTTGCTTTGGAGTCTGGCTGGGCACACATGCCTCTGTCTGACAGACATTCCAACTAACCTTTGGGCGGATGGAAAAGAGGTGTCCAAAAAAAAAAAAAAAGGCCAGTACAGGGTGTTTTCGGAGATACCGCCCAAGGTAACGTGTCCGCCGGAATACGGCAGGGTTGCCCCCTTAGCCCGTATCTCTTTATCATGGTCCTAACGGTTATGTTGCACGATACCGACCACACCTTGCAAACCCAAGGGGTTCCGACCAACACCTGGTCTGAAGGTTTCCCTACATACGATCTAGAGTATGCTGATGATACGCTACTCATTGCCTTGACCACACCGCAGCTGCAAGCCATGCTAGACGCGCTCGAAACCACTGCGCAGGAATATGGCATGAAGTTAAATCAGGGTAAAACGGAATTGCTAGAGCATCCCAAGGTTGACCACACCTCCTTAAAGTTTAAAGACGGAGCGGCGGTACCAACCACAACGCAGGTAAAATACTTAGGTTCCAAAATCAGTTGGCTGGACCCTTTCCACACCGCCTTCTATCATAGACTAGCGCTGACAGAGGAAGCTTTTAAGAAGCTGCGTCTTGTATGGAACAGTACATTACCAAGATCTACTAAGGTTCGTATTTACCAAGCCGCGATAGTACCAGTGCTAATTTATGGCCTTGAATCCCTTACACTCACTGACAAGCACCTCAAGAAGATAGACGGCCAATATTATAGATTCCTACGACGGAGCATCGGTATTAAGGCGTCTTTTTACTCAAGAGTCACAAACCGTGAGGTATGGACCCAAGCTAACAAACCTGTCCCGGCCTCAGAAATACTTAACTGGGCCCAGTATCAAACCCTCCTCGAAATCTTTAAGCAGGACCGAACAGACCCCACTCATAGTAGTGTTTTCTGTTCTGCCTATAAAGATAGGATAGTCGCACAGGGAAGGCGTAGGGGCATGCAGTTTCCATACTGGATAGACGTTACCACACGCAGACACTTTCCTGTAATTACGGACCACACCGCACGTAGCCCTAACCCACATGAACGTTACGCTAGAATTGCACGGCTGGTGCGAGATCCCTCTTTTGAGCCGGCGCCCAAGCGCGCAAAACTGGTGCGCGCAGGGCCATAGCAAAAAAAACCCTAAGGCCCCAAAGTAGTTCCTTTTTGGGGTTCGTATATAGAATCCTACAAGGTAATCCCAAAAAGGAAGTACTTTGGGGCCTTTGTGTAAACCCTAAATTGATCTCTTCAGGCCGCGACATCCTTCTGGAAAGAGCTGCGGGAGGCGCTAAGCTCGCACCAGGCGCCCCAAGCCGACCGCTGTTCTATCTATCTATCGAAAAAATATGCTGCATTTGGGAATCTATCTATCTATTTATCTATCTATCTGTGTATATATATATACATATTATATACTGCTTTGCATTTCATTCCAGGCCGTCCCGTTGCTCACTAGCTTGGGGTTGCTCGAAGCCGAAGAATGCCCTGGGCTCGGTGTGAAAGCTCTGGTCTTTGGCCTTGGAGTGCCTTCCATGGCCGCCACTCGTCTCAGGTCCCTCCGATCTTTTGCTGCGTGCGGACGCAAAGTTGGCCGTGGCGGACTGGGCGCCTCAGCCAGGTTGTTCTCGGGCCTTTGGCCGTACCCAGAGAGCCCAATACCCCTTAATTAAGGAATACCTAGGGCTCCTTTAAGGGATCTTTAAGGGATCTATAGGGTTTAGGGTTTAGGGGGCTCCAATACCCCTTAATTAAGGAATATAGCTTAAATCATAAAAAGGAGCCCCTTATAATTTAAGGTATATTGCTTAATTAAGGGGTATTGTACCTAGGTAGGGCTTTGGGACATTTTATATTTTCCCTTATTGGGCTTAAGAGGATCTTATTTACTAATATTTTTTGAAAGGCTCTAAAAGCCCCACCTAGGTACAGTACCCTAGGCCCCAAAGTAGTTCCTTTTTGGGGTTCGTATATAGAATCCTATAAGGTAATCCCAAAAAGGAACTACTTTGGGGCTTATGGGTAGCCTTTATAGCAGCCCCATGCAAACCCTTACCCTAAGGGTCCAAAGGACGCAATAATCGGGTACTCAGGTTTGTGATAGCAGTTGTGTAGGTTAGTGTGTTGGAGAGTATATGATAATTGGGTACTTAGACCCGTAAGGTTATGGCAGCCCTATGCAAACCCTTATAGTAACGTTATCTTACATCATAAAACCTTGTGGCATTATCATAGCAATTCTTCTGGTAACTTTTTTTCCAATACAACCCTTGCAGTACCCTAAACCCTGAACCCTAAACCCTAAACCGTGCAGGCGCGCCGCTCGGCTCTGCAAGAAGGCCCCCGAGGGAGCCGACAGTTTATAGTTCGGGTTTGGGGGTGAGAAGGTGCATACAGCAACCTCTCCGCAGCCGTAAAGCCTCAAGGCCCCTGGCCCTAATCCTACTCCGAAACTCTCAAAAAGATGGCCAAGATGAGAATATACCATGATGTGGTATAGTATGCCCCATAATGGGTTAGGCAATCTAGCGCCTGCACCAGCAGATCTTGCCGAGCAGCCTGCAGGAAGCCTCGTTGACGTGAAGGAGGCAATCCAAACAGCCAGGTGCCTGGCATATCTGGCATATCATCATGTTACATTTATCAAGGGCACTGCTGGTATGTGTGCGCGGGGATGAGAACGGTTGCAGAACATGAGTTGACAACTGGAGGGTTTTATAATCTCGGGAGGTACATGTGATGTGCCACAAGCATAAAGTGGTATCCCCTGACCCTACATACCACGATACTCTACCCAAAATTGGCAAGGCTGGAAAAGGACTGGCCTAACCCAAATGGAGACAGCCGAGGCTCAAGAGCTGACGCAGCGGATCTTGGGAGGACGGATCCTAAAGCCCGAAAGCCCTAAACGGCTCCTAGGGTTTATAGGGTTTAGGCTTTCCTTAAACCGAAAAGCCCTCAACGTCTGAACCCAAGCCAAACCCTACACCCTGAAGCCCTGAACCCACACTTTCAACTTTAAAGTCCTTAAAAGCCCTAAAGCTTCGGAGTTGCCATGCGGGTGGTTGTCAAAATTCTGGCCCCCTTCTTGGGCACCCTAAATATTAGGTGCCATATTATATTAGGGACCCATAAAGGGAACCTACAATTTTGACAGCCACCCATGTGGGAGTTTCCGAAAACAGCGGACCCTAATATAGTACCCTAAGTAGTAGGATCATTATAAGGACCCCCAAATAAGGTACCCCCAATTTTCGGAAACTCTAAACCCTAAACCCTTCATAGAAACCTTATAAATCCCTTTAAGGAACCCTTATAGATCCCTTTATAGAACCCTTATAGATCCTTTTAAGGAACCCTTATAGATCCCTTTATAGAACCCTTATAGATCCTTTTAAGGAACCCCCATGTCACCCGGGAGGATCATCCCTCCTCGGGCTGGATGAGCTTTCTACGTGGCCGGGCGGCTCGGAGCTCTTTTGGCTCCTGGATAGGTCTGGGCCTGAAGTATGGGTTTTAAAGTCCATCCTAGCACTATAGTACATTATTATGGTGTCTTGTCGCAAAATCATCGGAATATGTGTAATTATATATATATATATATATGCATGTAGTCTGTATGTACATCGTATGTGTGTGTGTGTGTGTGTGTGTGTGTGTGTGTCTGTGTGTGTGTGTGTGTGTGCGTGCGCGTCTGTGTGCATGGTACAATACTGAGACAATATACCGATAGCTAATCATCGGCTCGGATCCGGAAGCCAAGAGAACTTAGCGGTCCCTCGATTCCCTTGCAGGCTTCAGTGTGCGACGGAAGTCAGCATTCAGCTGCGGAAGGGCCATGCCTTCATGGGAGTCCTTTCCTTAGAGCCTCAAGTCCGAGGTTTAGGATGCAGTGAGGTTTGCTTTAGGATTTGTTCGGCCAGGCCGAAAACATTGGGATGCGAAGCGACGTGGACATCACCTACAAGCTGCTGCTGTTCCCCTACCGAGAGCTGGTATCTGACTTCATACGTGCCAGACGAGTTCCCTACTGCAACGTGCATCGGCCAAGACTTTATGATGGTTCGGGATGCTACTCTCTTGGAGCTGTTCTTCCAGGATCTTGCCGTTCTACCTTTGAACCGACAAATCAAGAGTGCCGATGTGTTCGCCGGTGTCGTGATACTCACTCAAACCAGAAGCAATACCTGCACAGCTCGTGCGATTTGTAGTAGCTGTTGGCGCAGCAGTGGTGCTGTCGTTCCTTAAACTCCTCCTGCCCGTTTTCGCTTATTGTGATAGCAGGATTTTGGACCATTATATACTGAGACAAGACAGCTTGCCAGCAGACCACAGCCGGCAGACCATTGCCACCACTACGACTACAGTACTATAGAACCCTAAATAAGTTGTCAAGATCACGCCCGCTGTTTCCTCGTATCGCAAAGTGACTATGTACCTGCGTAGAGCGCTCCCTTTGCTCTACTGCCAAGGAGTCCATTCTGCGTGAGGTGCAGAAGTTGGCGAAGCGCTTGCAGAGTGCCCGGGCTCACAAGGCACCGGCTTTTCCGCTTATCGAGAAAGCTAGTCGTGTCCTACTGGCAGGTTCGAGTCATTGAGGTAGGCGCGAATCTGGGTGATTGTTCGATCTGGACCGTGCAACACTCAGCACTGCAGCTGCGCCTCTCCCTGCTTGAAACGCACCCGCTCGTTCGGCGGCACATCCTGGTATTCCACCGCTTGCAATCTGAGGCGAAGCGGCTACTTGCAGTACCTACTCTGCGTAGCATCAAGGCGAGGATTCGAGAGAAGCCTAGGCCCAGGCGAGCTACGATTTTACCCAGGTCGTGGCCCTGGAAGCGCTGCCGGATGCAGCTGCTGTGTTCCAAAAGTCAGTTGAGCAAAACGGCCTGGTTGGGGTGATCGAGGCACCGCCGTGGAGTGTGTGCAAATGGCCCCTGTTGCGTCTTCGGCGGTCCTTGTCTTCGCGCGACAGGTCATTCGCGTAGCCGCGGGAGGTTCCAGGGGCTATGTTGACCTCAAGGCCAAGCCAAGCAGCTCCAATTCCTTTACTCTGGTCGCTCCGGCCCCAGACGCAGATGCCCGGCATCTGCGACGGAAAGTCTGTGTCACTGCGAGGACCAGAAAGCAGAAGCAGACCAGGAAGCAGTCCGCGCAGCGCCGGCCAGAGTATTGTTAGTATACCAGCTATACCAGCTTATTACCACAATTCTTAATATTCTTCCACTTAAGAATTTTCCATTATTGTTGTTATTATCGTCTTTGTTATTGACTCAACCGGGCAACCGGCCGTCACAGGGCCTCTTGGCTTGGGGCTTTGCATGCGGTGCACGATTTTGATGGACATCGTGCCCCGTGTAGCCCCTAGCAGACGCGCACTCTAGTATCGCCTATAATCATAAGAGTAAAACACTAAAAATACCTCGTTATGCTAATTGTATACTGATAATGTCAATATACACACACACACATATATATATATATATATATATATCTATCTATCTATCTATATATATATATGTATATATATATATATATATATATGGTAAAGTAAATTTACGTGAACATACAAAGCCCCAGTCAAGTTATTTACGTCCCTGTCTAAAACTCTGGCCAGGTCCCGAGGGAGCGGCTGGATGACCTGATCAGCTTCCGAAGGATCGATCTGCTGATCAGCCATACAAACGGGCCGCTGCCTCGGCTAAAACTTTACAGCTTTTGGCATCTTAAAAGTTAGGTCTGAGTTTGAGAACCCTAAACCTGTTGAAGAGAATCTCCGTCTCTTCTATCTGATGGCTCTGCCATCACCGAATTCAAGGAACCATGGCTGACAAATGCATGGCGCGGTCTCAATCCTTTTTTCGCACAAAGCAAACTGTCCTGTTAAAGCACTAGTGCATCAAAAGCTGTGAGGTTTCTGCTGTCTGGGTGTACAATATGTGACAGCTGTTGCAACCTCTAGCAATGCTGAATACGTCGCTTGGCACAAGGGGTCTTTCGTAGCCATACCCTTGATGCGGCATTGGCGACGTTCGGAACAGTCCTGATCGGCTGAGTGCTTCTTTTACACTCCTCCTCACTTGTGCGGTCAGGTACTTAGTGTACTCACTCCATAGCCTTCAGCCGAGCAATAGTCCTGGACGTTTCCACCCTTGTTGAGATGTGTCTCCAGGTCAATAGCACGCGGCCGGATAGGTTGCGATCTCTCCACAACCATAATATGTATCTCAACTGTCTGGTAGTGGGTCCAGTGCTCCCTCCCAGCTGTCCAACAAGAATGTCAGAAAGCCGTGTTGCGGCATCCAGCTTAATCCCACTAAGACTTAGCCCATTGAGACGTAACCCTTCCCGTATTTCCTCCAGTCTCATCAGCAAGATGGTGTCCACACAGACTCGTCGGTTTTCCGCCGAGCCACTCGACATTGCCTCATCCGCTGACAGTCCCTGCAAGGATCCCGGTGTATTCATCGGGGTAAGGGGCCTCGTAGATCGCGGTGGCGTCATCGGGGATCTCTGTCTTCGACGGAGACCATCCTCGTCGGGCTCACGGTGTTCTCTCTGCCGCGGTGGAGTAGCCGCCACAGTCCCACGTAGGTCCCTTGTAGTCGTCCCTGACGGGGGCGATGAACTCGCTGAGGAGGCAGTAAGGGGGTTTCTTCCGAGCTCCCGTTGTATAGCCTTAGTAGTAGCCTCCCTCAACTTCGTGAGCTTTCTCATCCTCCGCGACGACGCTCCTGGCGTGTAGTGGTAGTAGATCTCGTTGGCACCCCACTTCAGTCCCTCGTAGAGCAACAACGCACCCAAGCACATAAGCAAACCCATGAACAACGCCGCCATGTCCCGGTCCAGTTGCACATGCCTCTGAGGTGGTTGTTCAGAGGCTTCAACAGTCAGAACCAACAGGCAGCATATCATGGCCACCATAATTCTTGTAGTGCATGCACTTACAGGCCTAGGGGGTGAGGATCGCGTCCACTCCTCCTGAGATGATATTCCCCACAACGTCAACAGTGACTTTATCCTCTGGCTGCTAAGTGGCTTCGTAAGTAGGTCCGCCGGTTGTGTGAGTCCAGGCTGGTGTCGGGTAGTAATTTGCCCGTCTGCAATCAGCTCTTGCACCCACGCAGCTTTCAACCGCAAATGGCGGGTGCGCCATGAGCCGGTTCCAGCCCCAATCGCCAAAGCACTCGTGCTATCACTTGCGACTATCTTCGGGGTCGGCTCCACATGCAGGTCCATGAGCATCGCCTCCAAGCCCATCATCCCTATGGTCCCGTCCACTATGGCCGATAGCTCGCTTTCGGCTGTGCTCAGAGCAATCGTGCTCTGTCTCCCACTCCTCCACGCGATCGGCGTTCCAGACCAACACACAACCCAGCCAGTATGGCTCTTTCCACTATTCGGTGCAAAGGCTGCGTCTGGGTACAGTACAAGATTAGTGGTGTCGTCCTTGATCGTCATCTTCAAATTGTTGGTGGCATTCAAGTAGCGTAACACCTTGCACCCAATGGACCAGCATCTCGTAGGGGCCTTCAGGGTAATCGACGCCATCAAAAAGGCCACATCGGGCCTTGTCTTGTGGGCGATCCACATGATTTCGCCCGTGATTTTCTGAGCATTGGTCACTGCCTCAGGGGTCGGATCCACATCCGTCTCTTGCCATTCAAAGGACTCGTGCTCCTTGGTTAGGGGGATCTTGTCTTGATCCTCCTCAGTGTACCCATAGGATCGCAGGACTTCCTCGATATAGCTTCGCTGGTTCACCTAGACAATGGGTGATCTGGCCGTAGAAACACCAGCCCTGAGGTCTTCCACTCGCCCTGTATCGTGTCGGCAATCTCCTTGATCGTCTCCTCCTCGCCGAGTAGTAGAATATCATCGACATAGATGATGATGAGGGCCTTGATAGACCCTCCTTCATCTTTCAACACCCACCATGCCGTTACCGTGCGGCCTCGGTGAAGTCTCATCCCACGAGGAAATGACATCGTGCGTAACACTTGATCACGATGGGCCGACCAAAGTGCCGGTGCCTGGCGCAGGCCGTATAAGGCCCTTATCAGGCCCCAAAGTTCATCCTCGACAATGAAGTTGAGTCGTAGTAGGAGACGTGGTGGACACACAATGATAGTCGGTGACCCTTCTTCCGGATTCAGAGGTGTACGAAGGAAGGCCGCAACCACATCGATCAACCCTACCATCCATCGCCGCTTTCGTGACATAGCCAGTCCTGCTCGCACCGCTTCGGAAGGAGCGGTCTCTGAGTAGAGCTCGGACTGGTCGTTCGAGGCATAGTTTCCGCAGACCACTAGCCTTGCTTTCCTTTTGAACCACTTTGCTCGGTCAGCAGCATTCGGATTCTCCGCCGGCTTCACGGCGAAGACGAACTTAGCCGGTAATCGTTGCGCCCCAGGGCGTTGCAGCCAAACTGTTCGTTCCTCTGTGTTCGGAAGGAGCTTCTTGATCGCAACTGACACACCATCAAGCTCCTTCTGAATCGCAGGCAGCCACAATGACATATTCTCAGCCACCTCCTTGGGGTCGACGTTGTAGGTCACTTCAATGGGGGCCTTGAGTTCCGAGAGGATCCCTTCGACATTCTTGGTGTAGCCCGCTTCAACCTTCCTCATGCGTGGTCGAGGTTGATCATCGTAGTGCAAACGATCATCTCCAATCTTGGCTGTCCCACCTTCAACCTCGAGAAACATTTCCCACGTCTCGTCCACATTGGGTCCGAACTCGTCCTCGAAGATCCGCTCGTCCTCAGCCGCGGGCCCTGCTACCTGCACCTTCTGCTCCCTTGGCGCTGGATCTTGCGTCGAGAAGTACTCCGGGTACTGGGACAAGGGTGGTTGGAAGCCCTTATCTTCTAGCTCCCGTATCATCTCTGCTGACAACCTCCCCATACACTGTGGTGTATACGCTATGAGGACCGTCCTCGTACCCTCCCAAGGGAGTACTTCATGAGCTCGTCGGGGAGAAAACACCATGCTCGAATGCTTCCTTAACTTCTTGAGGTAGCCAAAACGCTTCCTTCCCTGACTGTCCACTCTATCCACTATTTCCCCTTGGACTTGATCACCTGGTGACAGCTCCACCTATAGTTCGCCGCCACGTTTGGGTAGTGAGATGGGGTAGATGTAGTTGAGCGCATTCTCATCATTGTTGTAGTCCTTGTGTAGGCCACGCTCTGAGTTCCTTGCCACCCAGATGGCCGTGAAGGTTGCCTCCAGGTTCACTTCCAAGATCACCTGGGCGAGGACTCGCGATAGCTCAGGATACTGCTGAAGTCTTCTTAGCCAACCCACTGAACCACCATGTCGAAACACTCCAAACTTCCACTCATCGAAGAAGCCAGTCTCTGCCAGCTCATTCACCAACCGAACGGCCTCCTCCTGGTCCCACTGATCAAGAAGAAGTTGTGACTTCCTGGCGATGTACCCATCCAGCTCCTCCTTGGAGAGCCCCAGCTTCTTTAACTCGATCTGATCCATGGGCTTTTTCTCCGTCACACGTCTCCTTGGTTTGGGGGGCTGGACCTCCAGCTCCTCCTGGGGTGGTCCCGGGTCTACGAGACGGGGTCGCACATGGAAGGTATGCAAGAACTTCTCCTTATTCTCTGAGTCGCCCTCAACGAACACAACGTGGACGTCCTCCAGGATGTTGCTAAGGCCCATGTAAGCCCCTCTAACCCACTTTAACTCAAAGGCCTGCTCCCGTCTCAAAGGTCCAGCCGAGTCGAAGACCTCGCGTCTCACGTGGACTGCTGCTCCACACGGTGCCAGCAACTTGGACTTCCACCCAAGCACTCTCGACCGCTGAAGTGCGGTGGCCGCCTCCGCTGCTGAAGGCCACAACCTCGTTGGTAGTCGTGCCGCCGCTAGCAGGGTGCGGGTATGATCCTTCACCCATCGAACAGCATTTTCCGCTTGCCCATTTCCTTGTGGCTTGCCTGGTTCAGACCAGGTTCCTCGGATCCCCTGGTCCCTGAGCCAGTTACGAATAGCGTGGTTGTAGGTCTCGCCCTTATCCGAATGTAGACGATAAACCGGTAGACCTCGTGACCGTAGATACAACACAATGTCCTGGATCGCGCCCTTGATGGACTGGGTGCCATTGTTGGGTAACGGCCTCGCAAACAACAAATAGGTAGACTCCGGAGCCTCGCAATCAGGGAAGACCTTGGCTGCCCGATCCTCTGCCAGTGGCTTCTCGTGCTCCTCCTGGTCCTCTTCCCCCATTGACGGTTCATAGTCGGAGTCCTCGTAGTCGACGTATCCCTTGCGCTGAAGCTTCGTGCCCCCCAGGAAACCCTCGACATCTCTTTGCTCTGACTCAAACAACTCTGGAAAAAGACTCTGCTCACCTGGGTCATCGTCACGCACTGGTAAAGGACTCTGCTCACCTGGGTCATCGTCACTAACTTCAAACGGATCGCCCTCTTCGTGTGGTAGTGGTGTAGAAGGTCCTGCGGATTCTTTGTCGTTGCTATTGCCCACTATCTGTTCTAGTAGTGGATCATGTTCCCCCTCTTCGTGTGGTAGTGGTGTAGAAGGTCCTGTGGGTTCTTTGGCGTTGCCCAGGTCCTCCTTCCCATCGTGCCGTAGGGGGTTCAAGCCATCATCATCAGGAGGTTCTCGGCCTGTGTAGCCCTTGACAAACTCCTTCGGGAGGACATAGCGACCCACCAACATGTAGCGCAAACCCTTTCCCATAGTTCCCTTCGACGATACATCGAGTCCTGGCTTGACTGGGCCCGCCACGTCCACTGTGAGGTTGAACATATCCGGTGACCTTACTCTCGCATGCCTTCGCCCCGTGCCTCTTGACATCACACAAGTCAAACACTCCCGGTGATATTCTGCGTGGTTGGATTGCACGTGTCTCCTCCACTGCTCTGTCGACATTGCCGCCACCGAAGGTGCACTCATTGGTCGGCGATCCCAAAACCTCAAAGCAGTTACCATGGCTCTCACCAGCCCTGGTGACCAAGCAGATAGCATCGCTCCATCCTGCGTGTTGCCTGGTGGGGCCTCATCACTTCCCAGGCCATTCAACCCGAGGAGGTAGTAGACGTTCGTCCCAATCGTAGTAGGCACGTTTCCTCCACCTGTAGCGCGCTGATTGAACACCACTTCCGTCATGCCCATCTCCTGCTGGAACTCGCGCCACATCGCAGTTTCCAACACTGAACTTCCACCACTCCTGCTGTCCGAAGGATGCTCCATCACGAACGCCACCGGCCTTTCTTTGTTCAAGACGTCTCCTCCTGAGCTTCGCGCTGCCCTGGCTACCACATACAACCACATCATCCTCACCATAGCCGCCAAAGATTTCGTCTTCCCGGGGAAGAGATCGCCCTTGGAGTTCCACATTCCTCCACGGCCTGGTGGTCCTCCCACAAGCGCATCCAGCCTTCCGGTCAAGGCTCCCCACAGAAGTAGCTTCCACGTAGAATCGTTCATCACGTCGTGGCCCTTGCATCTGGACACATCCAGTTCTAACACAGCGGTGTTCCCCTGGTCGAGCTGGAACATCTGATATAATGTCCAGGGTCCCCTGCGTATAGATGAACAACCCACTTGCGTGCTGACCACAGGTATCGCTTCTGGGGCCTTGTGAGGAAGTCCACGCCCTTGAACACCTTCCAACCATCTTCACGTACGCCTGGAACAAGGAGTCCATGTAGGCATTCTCCTGGAAGCCCACGTAGAAAATCCGCATCTCGTACTCCTCGATATCCTTCCTCCAGATTGCCCGTGGCCGCGTAGCTCTGAAGATGCTCCTGCCAAGTCCGTTGCATGCGACACGCTGCCATAGCCACTCTGTCCATGGTGGTGACAGTGGCGTTCTCCAACTGCTCGCGGTTCTTGTCCTCAAGACGGGAAATAATGGATAGCGCTTCCGCCTCACACAGCTGTGGGCACCCCGAACTCACCGACAATGGCAGCTGCTCCCCAAGACTTGTCTGCAGGAAACACTTCGTTGGTGACCACACCAGCGTGTAACCCAATGTCCTCACCAACTCACCGAGCGGAACTATTGTTTGGCCTCCGGGTGGCGTGCCTCCAGTGATCTCCGGAGTGTCGCGCGGGGGCATATAAGCAAAGTGCCCGTTGGATTCATCCTCATCAACAGCGAGTTGTTGCCCGCCAACTGAACCTGAACCTCCGTGGCCCTTTTCCATTCTTCACTGTCTCGCGCGCTACGGAGGCTGTGGGTTGCACCTGAGTCCAGGAGAGCTGAGGACGACGAACTCATCGCTGAGATCCGGATGTCCCTCACCACTATCGTCTTGAGCTCTGGTCTCGTCTTCTCCGGCGACTTATCCTCACCTTGGGACTGAGATTGAACGACCTGCTGGGCCGCTTGAATCAGCGACTCTAGTGTCCACGCCGTCCCTTGTATCGTCGAGGATGCCGAAGATGTTGAGTCCAACGTAGAGCCCGCCGTAGCCGTCGTTGAAACCGTTGACATAGCCGGCGTAGTAGCACCACCCTTGATGTTCCCAGCTGCCGCTGCCTGTGGTGACGGAGCATTCGCTGGAGGTCGTTGTGCCGATTTCTCACCTCGCGGTCTAGGGAGCTCATGTTGTGTGCATACGCACACTTAGCCCCCCTCTTACAGCCTTAATGGGGCTTGAGGAAGTACCTGCACAGCTCATTCGACTTCTCCCGGTCCTTCTCCTTCTTGGTTGGGGACTGTGGCTTGTCCAACGCCCGTAGCCGTGGTTGTTCCGTTGTAGTAGAGGACGATGTCCGCGGTTGGCTCGCCAGGAGGGTCTCGATCTCAGCTTGGAGGTGCTTCTGGTAGGCGTAGACATTATCCATTGATGGTTGTCCGTCCAGCCTCAAGGTGGTACGCAGCATACTTGTCCTGAAGTTCGAGTCCGGCGCCCCTTCTATGTGGCGTGCCGTTAGGAGCTTCAAACCACGGGCCAGTACCGACGGATCTGGCTGGGCCATTCGCACTGCCGTACATCTCGACATCCACCTCGGCCATGCCCTCAGAACCCGCAGTACGTTGTCCATTGTGTCCGCCGTCACAAAGTCAAGCGGATTTTGTAGGCGCCGTAGAAGAACCTGGCGTTCATTGCTACCCCCTGGCTCATAAAGGGTGTGGAGTCGAAACAACATGCGCACCGTACTAGTAGACATCCTGTGCGAGATCATGTCCGTCCTGAGCTCAGCCGTCATGGCTGAGAGAAGCATTGTTGTGACCCTAGCATTCAAGCGAGTCCACTTGGACTCCGACAGCTCTTGCCCTGCTGGCTGTATGCTGAGCCGTTCCAGAGGGGTTGCCGCAAGCCACTTCTGGTAAGCATCATCGACAACCTGTACCACCTCCCGCCACCACACTGAGCTCTGATCGCTCACATCATTCATCGCCTCCGTGGTCACCTCTAGCCAATCTTGAAACTGCAAAGACGCTTCGGCTCCTTGACATAGTTCGGGAAGCTGGGTCAGCGTAAAGGTTCCCGGCTTCAGGACCTCAGAAGATCCCGTCTGCCCCTTCGCCATCGCTGCTGCCTGCAGCTCCTGGAGTTGTTGGACTCCCCTTAGCAAGGCATCCATCATCGGTGAGTCTGGCGGGGAGGCTGAAGATCTCGGAGGTGGTGGTGATTGACTCCTTGGTCGAGGCTGTCCCAAAAAGGATCGCAGAAACCCTCTGCCCTCCGGTAGCTGAGGTGGAGTTGGTGCTATAGGTCTTGGCTCCGGTGGTTGTACAGGAGGTTGTGGTTGGGGTCGTTCCGGTTCATAATACGTAGGCGCATTCACACTCGGTGCCGCTGGTTGTACCCTACCCAATTGCCCTGCAAGTACAGATAAAGGATCCCCAGGTTGCGCTCCTAAGGGTGCTGATACTGCATAAGCTCCTGGTAGGGTAGGGGGATCTCGATAGTATTCGGTAAGGTGTCCCCCAGCAGGTAGTCCTGAATGTTCATGCGGTCCCCGAGGTAGCCCTGAATGTTCATGCAGTCCCCGAGGTAGCCCTGAATGTTCATGCGGTCCCCGAGGTAGCCCTGCATCACTCCGAAGGTGCCGCTCCTGTTCCAAGGACCTCTGAGTGGTCTCCAGCTCAAGTCTCAAATCATTGTTCTGTTGCTCCGCAGTCTGGAGTCTCTCCAGTAGCCCACCAAGCTGGCGTTGCACCTCTGCCTGTATAGCGTCCTGAGGAAGATCTGAAGAGCTTGGTGGTGTTGGTGGAGGCAACGGTCTCATCGCCCTCACCGGCGACCGCAGCCTGAAGGTCGGACCCCCAGGCGGGGTCGGTGTTGCACTGCTCCCAACCAGCGGGCTGGGAAGGGTCTCCATATGTCCCACACTCAAATAGGATCCCAGTCTTGAAACCCATCGCGGCACTTCCAGCCCTGTTATCCAGCTTGGTTGCTGTCCAGCAGCTGGTGCCATAGATCTTGGCGTCGCATACTCCACAGAGGCAGCATTTCCGTAGGTCCTCTCTGCACTGATTCGGGGCCCAGGGCGGCCGTCCAGATCTCCAGTCGTAGTAGGCAATTGCGGCCTCTCCTGCTGCAGTCGTGGTTCGTTCCCCTGGGCGTCCCCACATGCCGTAGGACGTTCTCCCGAGCCGCCCGCGGGTGCGGTTGCGCCCGCAGCATTCATTGCCGCAACGCCACCCAGCAGACTCTGCTCAGCTCCTTGCTGCTCCGTAGGTCGTAGACCCGACCGATCATTACAGTTCGGCGGGGGAGCTTCTCCAGATCCACGGGGTGCATCCAGGTCCACTCCGTTCGCGGTAGGCGCAGGCCTTCGAGTTGAAGAGAATCTCCGTCTCTTCTATCTGATGGCTCTGCCATCACCGAATTCAAGGAACCATGGCTGACAAATGCATGGCGCGGTCTCAATCCTTTTTTCGCACAAAGCAAACTGTCCTGTTAAAGCACTAGTGCATCAAAAGCTGTGAGATTTCTGCTGTCTGGGTGTACAATATGTGACAGCTGTTGCAACCTCTAGCAATGCTGAATACGTCGCTTGGCACAAGGGGTCTTTCGTAGCCATACCCTTGATGCGGCATTGGCGACGTTCGGAACAGTCCTGATCGGCTGAGTGCTTCTTTTACAAAACCCTAAACCCCAAACCCTAAACCCTGAACCCTAAACCCTAAACCCTACTCCTGAACCCTATGAACCCTAGGCAGGAGCTTGAAGTCCTCCGCGGTGCCCGGCGATTGCTGCAGCGATCCCGAGACGTGACGGTGATTCTTCAGCTGTATGGTCAGAGACTTAAGGGAGGATACCCCAAGCCGGGCAGCGCTGAGTGCGTACCACAGGCGCCGAAGGAGGCGTGATTCGTGATCTCAGCTACGACCCATATCGTCCGGTGAAGTGGTTGCTGGACCGTGGCACAGGCCTCAGAGGAGAGAGGCTACGGTGGGGAAGTTGGGTAATTAACGTCTTAAGCCGCAGTGTGCTGCATTCAATGCCAGTCAGGGCCGGAAGTCGAAACTTTCAAGCTGAGAGTCGTTTGTAAGTACTAGCTGCTCTGTGTCCTCAGAGACATTGCTTGCCGACATCTTCGTATTTACGGATTCCGGATGATGTTGAGGAGGTTGAAGCCTGCTAAGTCACTGAAGGGATGGGAAGCCAATTGATTGGCCAACTGTTGCGGAACCAGTTCTAGTTTAGGGCCTTATGGATTTGGAGTCTTTGGGGCTTCGGTTGGGCTTTCATGTCCACGTCTGGCCCAGGCTTCCACATGGCGCTTGCCCGCAGACCAGGACTGCGCTTGCAGACCGCCGGAATTCTGCGGCAACACTTGAGCGCATCGCCGATCGTGAACGCCGGGAGTCTCATTCCTTCTTTTGCTCGGGACTCAGAGGACAGTTGATTGCCTCAGGTCATTGGCATCCGAAAGCGACGACATGTGTTGCGTGAGCCTAAGTAGGTATTTGATCGCCGCGACGCTGGTTGCGGCTTGATGCTTTGAGGCGGATTGGGAAATCTCCTGCCCCCCAGCCGTATCGGGTCTGTCTCAATCTCACTGATGGCGAACGACCGAGCACTTGGGCAGAGGACGGTGGCAGACCTGACCAGACTCTGACATGCAATATATGATCCGTCGCGGTGTGAAGCCGGAAGGTAGATGGGCGTGTTCTGAGGGAGAACCTGCATTTGGCGCATGCCTCACTCAACGTGTGAACATTTTTTGGGGGGGAATTACTCGGATCTTGCATTTGTCTTCCCGAGATACCCTGAGGTCAGAATCTACTTGGGTCGAAGCCTTGGTGGCAGGGGATCTGCAGATGCCCCGCCCATCGGCGCAGTTCTCAAAGCCAACGCCTACGGACACGGCGCCGTCCTGGCAGGTGGGCTGGTCGGGTGCATCGCGATACCTCCGCACACATGTATGTAGGTGGGTAGCAGTGTAAGTGTAATTACGTAGTCTGTAAGTGTTTCTGCATGTCCTTATACAGCAGCAGATCCCCTGAACGCTGCACCGGAAGCACCAAAACCCGATACCCAAACCCTGAACCTTAGGCCCCATTTTTCTCTGAAGCTCTACCCCAGAGATGACGCAGGACGAGTTCTGGCTTCTGCAAAAATCGATGCCTTGTTCGTGTCCGAAGTCGAGACCGGGCCAGGGCCTCTGCAAGGCCGTGTGATGCGGGCAAACCCTGGTCAGCTCCACATATGATCTATCTCTCTCTCTCTCTCTCTCGCTCTCTGCTCTCTCTCTCTCTCTCTCTCTCTCTCTCTCTCTCTCTCTCTCTCTCTCGCTCTCTGCTCTCTCTCTCTCTCTCTCTCTTCTCTCTCTCTCTCTCTCTATATATATATATGAATATTCATGTTGATGTTCACATACATTTAAGATTACATAAGTGTAGTTATATATATATATATGTACATAGGTAGATACATAAGTACATGTATGTGCATATGTATACATACATATATATATATATATATATATATACATATCTATCTGTCTATCTGTCTGTAAAACTAAACACATACATACATCGATGGATAGCTGGATGGATGGAGGGAGGGATGGATGGTTGGTATGCGTGTATGCATGTATTTCTGTGTGTACTTGTGCACATACATATTGTACATTATGTTACATGCTATATCCGGCCCTCGTGACATCCCGAGGTTGACGTTGCGGTCCTCTCCCGAGGTCGCTTCCGGAGTTCTTGGTGCTGTTCCGTGTCACGAAATGACCCGCATCATCAAAGCAACCTGCGGTTTTTGGGTTGAGAGTTTAAAGAATCTTGAGTTGCCTTCTTTTTGCTTTTTTGGTCTCTTTGGAAAATGCTTCGACGCCGGTATCAGCTCAAGGCATCATTCACCCACGGAACATCTCGTCAAGCAATCGAAACTGGATGTTGCGCAACCAGTGCCTTGCTGCACGTGCACGCAAGGAGTGACCGTAATGCATCCGAACTGTACTCCCGCGCAGCAAACCATAGCAGACGATACGAGACGGCTGACCGATGCAATTCTCAGCGGATGCATTATGGATTTAGGGTTTTTAGGGTTTGGGGTGTAGGCTGTTTAAATTAGGGTTTATCGGGCATGGTGATGCTTTTCATGGCTTCGGCAGCGAAGTTCGCCAGTTTGCCCGATTGATCCTGCAGGTTCCGAAGTCCATGGCAATCGTCCTCTTGTACCGGACGCCCCTTCAGGGAGTGATTTGTCAGCTTGCAGAGGCCCTTTTGTCAGGGGTACTATAGGGTACCTTGATAGGGTCCCCTTTTAATAAGGGTGCTATAGACTATAGGGTTCGATTAAAGGGCCCTTCCTCAGTCTCTTCCTTGGTTTCAAGATTCGGTGGATTCCCTCTGCAGGCGAGCATCACAGTGTCGGTGCTCTCCAAAGCCTGGCTTGAGGAGGAATCCGATGAATCCATGCAGTCTCTAATCTGCAACTGAAGAGCTTCCTGAAACAGGCGCTTCGCTGGCCTCCGTGTGCATCCAAGCTCAGGTGGGCAGTCTCTAGCCTCTAGCAAGAGCTTGCAAGGTCCGAGAGAGAGCTTGCAGGCTGCACCTGATGGTCGACACAGGCCTGGGCAGAGAAGGCGTAAAAGTCCAAGAGGTCGCCGAGGCGACCGCTGCGATCTTGGCCAACCCGCATTGGTCTTTGGAGGGTCTCTACACGCACTGGTGCTGCCCGCTGCAGTCTTAGCACTTGCTACGGAATGGCCCGTGATCGAGAGCAAACCGCATGGTGGCTAAGGTATGATCCGTTGGATATGCACCGCTCGCACATGATTTTTGCTGAAGCTCTTGCCGCGGTTCGCGTGCCAGACTCATGCGGCATGCCACACGACATGCACAAGTTCCCAATCCAACCACCTAGGAGCGACGTCACAAGTCGGGCTTCCTCGAAAATCAGCACTTTATGGCCAGCCACTGAACTTCGTCGTCACTTGCGCCTCATGCCACGCTACAGCCTCGCTAGCAACTTTAGCATTCAACCAGCTCCTTGTGACAACGGCGCAGCTCGGCTCAAGTCTGATCTGGACCCGGATCGGCCCATCTCCACTTCCCACTGAGCAAAGATCCGAAGGCCACAGCAGAAGGGACTTGGGGAAAAGAGAGAGCAGGCACCAAAAGCCCAGGGTTTGCGGCAGCTTCTTCACAGGAATTGTGCCTCAAAAGATCCTTCCCTTTATGCGTTCCAGACTTGTACTTCCTATGGACGAGGCTGCCCGGTGAGCTCCCACGATGCCAAGGTCTAGCCTTTCTAAGGCAAGTGCCTGGGCCGAAGTATCGGGTAACGACCAACCGAGTTCTAGTGGCCAGGTATGGGTGTAGGCTTCTTGCTGAGGGTTCAGCCTGTTTTGAATTGAGGGGTGCTTCATGGGGTAGAGCCGTTTGGGCGCCCCCCGATCGGCATGGTATGTGCATGTCTTTGGCAGTGTGTGTGTGTGTGTGCATGTGTCTGCATGTCTTTTCGTCTGTCTGCCTGCCTGCCCTGACTGCCCTGCTTGCCCTGCCTGCCTGCCTGGCTGTCTGTATGTCTGTTTGTTTTTCTGTCTGTGCTTCCATGCATGCGGGTATACCTGCCTGCTTGCCTGCCTGTCTACAGACATACATACGGACATGTACATATGCATGTACTCGTACGTTTGTTCTTGGTTATGGTACCGTGGTGACGAGACTGACCGTGATGATGACGACGCTGGCGGTTGAACTTGCACATTTCACCGGAATTCTACAGCAAGTCGAAGAAGTAGTCACTTGTGTTGCTGCTGTGAACATATGTAGCCGAAGAGTTGGGCCCACGCACTGAACTAAAGTACCTTGGCAAGGTGTCCTTATAGAAAGGATCCTGAGTATTTCTCCTGTAGTAGTTGGGCTCTGAGTTTGGGGCCTAGGCGTATTGTGCCAGTCTCAGACGCACTGTGCGCAGATGCACTCAGGTGGTTGTCCAGGAGAGAGAGGCGGAACCTTAACGGGTTGGACGACTGTGATGCTCAGAAACGTGCTGCGGCCCAAGCACGACACCAGGGAGCTACCCCCATGGTTGCCTCTGCTTCTAGCCAGTAGCAGGAGGGTCGACTCCTGGTAAAGCTTATGCGAGAGGTGAGCCGTTTTGATATTCGGACTTGGTGCAAAACCCGTCTCACCTCTCGTGTCCACGGCTGAAGCCCGCGAAAGAGCGACTGAACTGCCCGAACTGAGGCCATTGCACTTCAATCGGCAGCGACTTTGCGACGCTTTCGATGCCCAAGGAAGTCGAGAGCGAGAGCCTCCAAACCCTGAAGATCGCTAAACCCTAGCAAAGAGCCACCCCAGGTGTGTGGTCCTGCGGTGCTAGGGTCAGCTGTGGAACCTTCGCGAGTGCAGCAGTCGAGAAAACTGTGAATTTATGTTGTCATGCTAGTGGAACTTCATCCTCGCATTTTGCAGAAGGTGCTGACTAGCAGCAGAACTGTACATGTCTGCTGGCCTCGTTGTTGCTGTTTGGGCACACATTGAGCGGCCTCTTATCTAGGAGCCTATATCTATCTAGTTATCTATCTATGTATTCTGTATGTACTGTAGGTATATATATATATATGTATATGATCCCGGTTCGGCCGGCCCCCCCCCTCCCCCCCCCCCAATGGTTCCTCCTCCCACCCTGTGGTGTGGTGGGGTTGTGGGTTGCTTCCCCCTCCCTGTGGTGTGGTGTGGTGTGGTTCGGGAGTGGGTCTGCTTAGGCTGGTTACCCCACTCCCCCCTGTGGTGTGGTGTGGTTTGGGTTTCCTGCGTGGGTCTGCTTGGCGTGTGAGCGCTCGTGTGGAAAGCTTGCACAGTCACACACAGATTCAGCTTGGGGAGCGTGGGGGGGGGGGGGGGATACCATTGGGGGGGGGGGGGGTCGGTGAACCGAGAACCGGGATCATATACGTACATGTGTATGTGTATATAGGAATGTATGTATAGGAACATATATTATATATATATATATACATATATACTTATAAATATATGTATGTTCGCATGTCTGCTCACACATGTGTATATACATATATCCGCAGACATAAACATATAGACATATGTAGGTATATATGTATGATTCAAGAATTTCGCAGATGCACCAGGATGCCAAATGTCAAGCTGTGGTTTGTTTGCACGATGCGCCACTCGCCTCGGAAGCTTCTAGGCGAACACTGTAGTCCGTCATACAGGGATGCTGTGGCACCTGGACGTGAAGGAGTGTGGATGTTGGGACAGGGCAGCCGAGCATACTGCCCCTGTTACAGACTGATCGTTCTCTGTCAACCTTTGGCTGAGTAATCCGACATTTCCGGCTCCTACGCAGGATTTGGCGAGAAAATCGACTTCGTTTACCTGCCGCTTTGTTTTGCGGAGAAGAAATCGCTGGGATATGCGTTTGTCAACTGCATAAACCACGATGTGGTCAGAAATTTTTGGCCGCCCGGCTCTGCAAGCTCGACACGGAGACAGGAGCACACACGCACACACACACACACCCACACACACACACACACACACACACACACCCACCCACCCACCCACACCCACCCACACCCACCCACACCCACCCACACCCACCCACACCCACCCACACACCCACACACCCACACACCCACACACCCACACACACAGACACACACAGACACACACACAGACACACACAGACACACACAGACACACACAGACACACACAGACACACACAGACACACACAGACACACACAGACACACACACAGACACACCACAGACACACACAGACACACACACACACACACACAGACACACACAGACACACACAGACACACACAGACACACACAGACACACACAGACACACACAGACACACACACACACACAGACACACAACACACACACACAGACACACACACAGACACACAACACACACACAGACACCACACACAGACACACACAGACACACACACACAGACACACACACACACAGACACACACACACACACACAGGACACACACAGACACACACAGACACACACACAGACACACACACACACACACACAGACACACACACACAGCACACACACACACACACAGACACACACACACACACAGACACACACACACACACACACACACACACACACACAGACACACACAGACACACACAGACACACACAGACAGACAACACACAACACACACAGACACACACACAGACACACACACACACAGACACACACAGACACACAGACACACACAGACACACACAGACACACACAGGACACACACAGACACACACAGGACACACACAGACACACAGAGACACACACACAGACACACACAGGACACACACAGACACACAGAGACACACACACAGACACACACAGACACACACAGACACACACAGACACAGACAGACACACACAGACACACAGACACGCAGACTCGCAGACACACACAGACACAGACACAGACACACAGACACAGACACACAGACACACAGACACACAGACACACAACACACAGACACACAGACACACACAACACACAGACACACAGACACACACACAGACACCACACAGACACACAGACACACACACACCCACCCACACACCCACAACACACAACACACACACATCACACACATCCACACACCACACACACCACCCACCACACACCACACACCACACACACCCACACCACCCACACACCCACCACACCCACACCCACCCACCCACCCACCCACACACCCCCACCACCCCACCCACCCACACCCACCCACCCCCACACACACACACACACACACACACACACACACACACACACACACACACACACACACACACACACACACACACACACACACACACACACACACACACACACACACACACACACACACACACACACACACTTACTTACTTTTACTTGTCAGGAAGCAATCCGAGGTTTTCGGTAAAGGGTCGGACCGGTGACAGGATACGACAAGCAGCTCAGGAACTGCTTCGATGGCTTCAGATGGGGCATAGATGCAGACCCGGCGTCCGTGTGCTGGTCGCAACGACATCAGGGACTTCGGCAAGCTATTGCGCCTCCTGGATTATTTGACTGCGGTATGCTTGAGGATCAGTTCTTGTACCCGATCTTAGAAACTCCATCACACGCATAAGACAGCTTGTTAAGGTACTACCGCAACAGCAATGTGATGCACCAGATGGTTCCTGACGAGTGCAGGTGCCACGGTGACACTATCATGTACAGCCGACCTTGCAGGGATGCGTAGGGCGTAGGGTTTAATTGTCTAAGAGATTTTTGCGATTGCTAGCAGGCCAGTTATTTTCTCGGATGGTCGACGCATTGCTTTCCCCTCGGCGACGAAGAAGCTGACACCTCCAAAGAAGGCAAGACGTGCTGCGGAAGGCCAAGACCTTCTCACACTGGCCGTTGCCAACAGCAAGACTGACAGTGAGAAGTCGATTCATGCTCCGGGCTCAGTTGTCTAGACTCCTTGCATGCTTTCCGAAAGTTTTCATCGAAGATTGTTCAGAGGGTCAGAGGGTGTGCAACCGGCTTTCACCTTCGACCTCATGCCGAGGGAATACACTTCTTAATCGAAACACAGCTTCTTCGGCCTCGGGCCAAGGAAACCGATCTCTTCGACACCAGGGACATTGACCTTGCTGTGCTCCTGGATGCGACATTCAATCCAACAAGGAAACTCATCAATCCAAGAGAGGAAGACATGCCGCTGCCTCGCTTTGACGTGATCATGTCGGTCCAGCCCTCAACTTGGGGGGGGGAAAGGCTCTTTATTAATACCTGATTTGGGGGTACTCGCACCTATACTTAGACTTGATCCTACCAATACTTTTGGCTTCTACATTAGTGTAAAGCTTTGTGTTTCAGCGAGCTGGCGGTTCGACCAGCCTCAGGTCTAAGCACGGCGTCTGTTCTGACCTCTCGCCTGATGTTTGTCCAGTCGTGATCACGGGAGTGTGGTTTGGACACGCACCGTGGCCAAAGGTCACATTTATCAAGTTTCCTTGTGCTTTCTGTTTTTTCAAGAGAGGTGTGGCCACAGCTCCACAGCTTGCTATTTAGTTGTCACCGACCTACCCAAGCAACGCTGCTGAAGTGCTCTTGACCCGCAGATCTTCGACTTTGGCAAACGCAGAGTTCATGTCGGAAAGGCCACTTGTATTCGCGAACGCTGGTAGACAGCAGAAGGAGTCGGAGCACGTGGGCAGCCGTGCTTCTTCCAAGCACCGTCTCTTCGCTTGTTCGTTCAACAAGGGCAGCTACTTGTTTGAGAAGCAGGGTACAAACCACAGGTGCTTGCTTAAACAGAAGCAGCGATTCCCCATGAGAATGCGATTTTGTGCTGAACTGAGCACGAAAACGAGATTCCAAAGTAAGCATGTTTATGGACCTCTCTTTGAGGACATTGAGGACTTCTTGCTCAGACTGCGTGCAGCTCATCTGTACAGAGGGGTTTGTTCCCCTCTTCCATAGCACATCCGAAACGGACAGACCAGCAGCTCAATGTGCACCTGAAGAGGAGTTGCTCAACACGCCCAAGCTCACCGAAACTCTATCATATATTCTTAAAGACCCTAAGTCGCCCAAGAATACTAAATGGCTCCAGGTGTGTACATCGGACCGCAAACATCTGCCCGGCTTTCAATCCACATTGACATGGACAGACTGTTCCTGGACAGTGCTGCCATCATCTGCCATCTACCCTCCTTACAACTAACATGGGGGCCTTCTTTGAATTTGGCGGTGCCTTGACGACAACGCGTCTCACCTATTAGGGTTACTTGCCGAAGGTCAGCTCGCCCATGAAGACGACTATCCTTGCAAACGTCAAGGAGGGTAGAGATTTCATCTCCATAGTGAGTGTGTAGGCATGAGACGCAAGACCCTGTTCTCGCATACGCCTCCCTGTGCAAAGATTTCAGGTTCCTAGAGACCCTCCGTCTGCTACCTAGGGTTTAGGATTTAGGGATAAACCCCAAATACATATTAGGGGCGGCATACCCCAGCAGGTGCGGGGAGGGTCCGGGTTTTCTCGAGTCAACCGACCGGTCTAAGAGTGCTTTGAGCGCCGGACTTGTCGGGGCCGAGGGCGTGGCAACCTGGAGGCTCAAGAAGTGGAAACCTGATTTTGAGACTTCTTGGGGTCTTATAATATGCGGGTGCCGACGAATAGCAACAATAATCATCGCCATGGATCGTACGAGTACTAGTAGCATTGACACCCGTCGCACTACCAGGCATGCTAGTATGTCTGGGATGGATCTCAGAATCAGGTTCTATTTTATGCGGAACAGGCCATCCTGCTCCCTGCTAAGTTTTATCAAGCGCAGGCACACAGCACCAATTCACAAGAAGATGTACTGACAGGTACTCTGCGTCTAGGCAGGCAGAGACTCTTACCAGGCGCGATGTCTTGCATCCGTCTTCCTGTCAAGAAAAGGTGTCGAGCAGAACTCGCCTGCTACATGGTGCTTCCGTGTCGACAGCCCTTGTGACCAGGTTATCCACCTAGTTGGATAGAATCCCAAATAACAAGAAGCTGGAGTCCGTCGATTGTTCTGTAATTGGGATTGCCTTCTTTAGGTGCACACTTCCAGCAGCTCTGCCGTTCTTCTCGGCGTTCACTACGCAGAAGTCTCAGCAGCATGATGGCGGAGTTCGAAGGTCCTTCCAGTTCACATAGTTTCAACATTGGTCTGCAAGAAGTCGCGAAAGAAGAAGTCTAGCTGTTGCTTATGATGATGCTGCATGATGCTGCAGCTGCAAATGCTGTTGCTTCTTGCTGTTTATACTTCTTGCGCTGCTACGACGACACCGTCGCCCGACATCACCACCAACACCTCCAAGAACCAAACACCTCCGCCCACCGCCGCCACCAGGAGCAACAAGAGTGATACTGCACTTCGCAAAGCTGCTTGAGATTCCTGGTTAGAGATGCATGTGGGCAGCACGGGCCCTAAACTATACGCCAGCTACCTGGAGCAGGTGCGTTTCCACTGCCCGACCATCTCTTAGTGGTACAGGTGTTGCTGATACAGTGTTCTGAAGATTTGCACCTACATGCGGGCAAACCTTCGAATCAACACATGGTCGAACAACCAGGTAACATATTATACAATATATATATATATATATATATATATAATATTATAATATATATATATATATATATATATGTATGTATGTATAGCCTGTGCATGTCCGCCTGCCTGCAGCGGGCGGGACTTGAAATCGCCCTGATGGTCTCAAGTGGGCTTTGCCTCAATGCAAAAAGCCGGCGCTCCAAGCACAAAAGAGACACTAAACCATGTACTATGTCATATTGTGCTGTAGTACACTGCTCTTGCATGCTGTGTCTTCTGCCATAGTGGTTCCAGTATACGTAATTACGACTGCTGTATGCTTCTTCTGTGCTGCAGCTTGCCGCGGAAAACGCAACAAAGGGTGTGAAGAATTGCTAATGCAATCTCCGTAGCGTTCCTAAATTGTGGATTTTGCTCGATGTCGTCGCTTTGGAAGCCAATACAGTATAGCTCAGTATTAGTATAGTAAAGTATGTACAGTATAGTATAGTACAATGTCTACAGCCTATAGTCTAGAGTCTGTATAGTATCGAGTATAGGGTATGTAGTATATAGTACATAGTATAGTTTTGTAGAGTAGAACAGAGACCCATTGAATAGTATTGTAAAGAAAATCTGGTTTCCCATGATTCCTGTGCCGTGCTGCCGTCCCGACCCCTTCCTATACGCCATTACACGCCGCTCTTGTTTTCTGTTGAGAAGAGGCTCCTTTCCTTTCACAGCCTTGACTGAGCGCTCCACTGCTCAGGATTTACTGCGAGTTGGAGGCCTTCTATTCGGAGATCCGGTTTCGATTGCAGACGGAGCCGGAGGAGCTTTGCAATTGCCCGGGTCCGATGCTCTGATGGCCTCAGGGCTTTGGTGAGATTGTTTGCGACCTGTACTCGAAACACTCGGAGAAACCTGTGCAGGATACCATGTACCTCAAAAAGCCTAAAGGGGGCGGCTCTGCATCGATCCCCACCACTTTTGGGCTTAGGGTTTTCTAATTTTGGGGTTTATAGGGTTTAGGGTATTAGGGTCTAGGGTGCTTTAGGGTTTTAAGTTTATGGTTTAGAGTTTAGGCTCTAGGATGGTCTCAAAGACCAGGGTCTTGAGTTTAGCGTTCAGGGCTTAATGGATCCCCACTCTCGGCCAAAACTGAGATGTACTGGAAGCTCACTGCACACTTGCCCCGACTTCATCTTCATGGCAACGAACCTGCAGCGCAACACGGACAGAAACCCTGCATGCTTGCACTCTAACAGTCTCCACGCAACCCTAAACCCTAAACCCTAAACCCTAAGCGGCTTTCCTGTTTAGCTGAGGCCTCACCGAACACTTTTGTGGAAGAGCCGCATCACTTCCCTTCGCTCGAACCTGAGATGCTCTCGCCGAAGTAGGTTACAAACGCAAAGCTTGCATCATGTTACAAGATACTGAAATCTACTAGATTCGACTGTATTATATTATGACATACCATAATGTACTAAAGTATATCACAACATATCCTACGATGCTAGAATATTCGATAACATATTAGAATGTAGCTTTGCCAGGCTGGTCGATTCCTGGGGAGCGATTCTCCACCTGTTTGGTTGCAGCGGGCTGTGAAGACACCCCTGTGTTTCACAAGCGCGTGCTGCTGGGCGTGATTCCAGCAGGGTCCTTACATTCTTCGGTTTTATAGGGCTTAGTAGGATGATGTGTCCTCTTCAGTTCATGCAAGGTGGGCGGCAACGAGTTCAGCGATTCGAACGTCGTAAGCAGCGCCCATCTTATCTTCTTTGACGCAGTTCCATTGCGAAGTAGTTCCTTGACATATTATCTTGAAAGTTCTGTGCAACACCAGGCTCTTTTCGCGAGAAGCTGCCGCTTTTGGAGAAATCGCTGGAGCGCCCGATTTTCCCGTGACGATGACTCTGACATTAGTTGAATCACGCAGTCTAAAACCCTAAACCTCAAATACTTCCGGCCAAAACCATACCCCGAAGGATATGGTTTAGAACTTCCGGGGTCCTGCAGGTAGAAACGGGGATTAAAACCGCAAATCCTGAAATCCGCAGCGCCGGAAGCCCTTAAACCCTAAACCCGAAACCAAGAATTTTCGGAGGATGGTCTTCTCGTTGAGATCCCGTCGACGACGCGCACTTTCCAGCACGCCTTTGAAGGAATGGAGGCTGGCATTACTGCTTTGAGTTCCGTGTCATCACTACTAGTTTTTACCCCAGAAGCCTATTCTAATTGTGGTGGCTACTGTGCTAGAAGGATGTTGCCCGTCGAGCAGCCGACGTGAAAGCTTGATCCAGGTGCTGCTTTGCGGCGAGAATTGTGTTCAGGGGCTCTTCAATGTTCCAGAGCTTCGTGGCGGCAAGCGGTTTAGCATTCAGGGTATATGGGGTTTGGTGTTTTTGCTGTTGAGTGTGCAAGAACTTGACGGCTTGTGAGCTTACATGCGTACACAAGAACCAGGCATGTTCCACGGCTGCTTGTGCAAGACCCGTCGCAGCCTCATCGACGCCCAGTGGCGTTGACTGACTTCGCACTCCAGCAACTGTCCAATAAGGTCGATCGACATGAGGGCATACTGCCCGCCAGTAATTCTTTCGCAAGAATCTTAGTGCAGCAAGAGCGGGTCTCACTGCCATCTCGCAAGAAACACGGCAGGGTCGTGCTTGGCTGCGTATGCGGCTTCATGCGCGTCCGCCTGCGACGGACTTGCACCAACTTAAAGGATCGCGGGACTTACTAAGTAGGGTTTTAAGCAAAGTAACTACAGTAATAATTACTTATAACCCCAATTAGGGTTCTTATTACCCTACTTACTAAGCCCCATGATCCTCCAAGAAAGAGGAACTGGGAAAATAGAATCAAGGAGCGGCACGGGAGAGGGTATGTTGACAACAGGTATGCGCCTTCCGGTGACAGCTTCTACCCTGTCGAACTGAATGGTTCTGTCACCGCCTGAGTTCTTCACGCACAAGTGCATGAGATGGAACAATCCCTAAGCGGAAAATCCAAAATCCCTAAACTAGGTAGTATTATTAGGGAGACCCCTAGAAGGTACCCCTTCTGAACCCTACTTCTGGCTCTCTCAAAAGGGGCCCTATTTAGAGGGTCTATACCCCCAAGGGTCCCCCTACTCCTAACGCCCATAAACTCCCAAGCTGTTAATCCCGCGCTCCCGAATCAGTCAGCTGGGATGCTTTCAATGTCCCAAAAAGGACAAAGCAACAATAAGCATAGAGTGTCCCCAGAGGCCCCATTGTAGTTTCTTTGTTTGGGAGTACCTATATTTGAACCCCAAAAAGGAACTACTATGGGGCCTCTGGGTTTTAGGATGTCAGAATTACAGAGGAGCGCTCGCAATTTGTCTGAGAACGTGCTAGAACCTGCGCACCTCCTACAACCGCTCAGATGCAGAATAAGAAAATCAGGGTGCCCTGCACCCGAAACCCGATTTGACATTGAGTTTCTCCAAAAATCCATGCCAGTGAGCAAAGTCGTGGTTCCGGTTCCCTTGCCCGGCCTGACCGCGCAAGAGGAACATAAGAAATTCAGCCCCTGGATTTCTGATTTCATGGTTTTTGGCCGTACCGCCTCAAAGAAAACCAAACCCAGGCCCTGGATTCCAATTTTCCCGGTTCTTGTCCGGACCGCCCACAAGCAAAACAAGAAAGTCAGCCCTGCGATTAGCGTTTTTGTTTTGGCGTGGTTACGGTTCTTAGATTTGCCCGCAACGAGAAGTAGAAATTCAGCCTCAGAGCAGGATAAGAAATCAGAGCCACCGTTTAGGGTTTGAGTACCCTGGCGTCACTTGTGTCCCTGAAAGAAGCGCTGTCCCAGTAAGACTTCCAGGGCGCCCAGCCTAGACCAACGGAGTTTCTTGTCCAATAGAGCCTAGGAAATCCGGGACATTATACCAGCTAGGGCGGTATCAAGACTGTTCAGCATGAAACGTCGACATTGTGGAAAGTTGAAATTGGACCAATGCCAGAGACGGCATACCACCTGCTCTTGCACCGAACTCTGACGCAGCGCGTGGTAATCATCGTAGTAATAGCATTACCAGTCATGATATCAAGAAAATAACAGCAATAATACTTAATGACAGGAGCCGGCCTGCATGAAGATACGGTTCAGGTGTACGACTCCTTCGCCTTGCGCGTGGTCTTTGAGAGGGATAAGACAGGCTTTGAAGAAAGCAAGGACGGTCGCAAAGGGCAGTTTGACAAACACAACCGGGATCATGTGACCTGGCATGCCAGGAGTTCCCCATCCGAACGAACATGGTGGTGGCGGCAAGGCTGTTCTCCGGAGCTGCTGTGGAATGTTGCTTTCTCGGGTGGTTCAGGTACCAGATCATTGAGTACCTGGGATCTGCTGCATTTTCGCGTGCAGTGCAATGCTTGGACTTGGACACCAACAAGATGGTCTGCATGAAAATTATAAAGAATGACAAGGCCCGCCGGCCACTTCAGCCAAACCCACTTACGGGCCTGCACCCTGCTATTGAGTGAGGACTTCTTCGACCAATCCTTGGACGAGATCAAGCTGCTGAAGTACATCAATGTAAACGGCGATGTGGACTACAACAACGTCCTGCGCGCGGGAGCCCAGACGGGGAGATGGCTGCCAGAATCGACATTAATTGTTGGGAATGGTAAGCGGGGGAGTTTTAGGATACTAAGGCCTATACGATCACTTCTACCACAAGGACAGCTGCCGTTTTCAGAGACCTGACTTGGCAGCACCAACAAAGTCTCAGGATCCTGACATGAGCCCGAAGTCCGAAGATCTGAACCTGTAGAAACCCCCCGTAAGCCCTAAACCGATACACCCTGAACCAAAAAGCCTGAACCCTTATAAACCTTAAACCCTATAACCCTATAGATCGGTTTAAAGGAACCCAACTTATAACTACCCCATGAACCTTCAAGCAGTATAAGCCCTAAGAGCCCTGACAGGAACACTTGATCATCGTGACCGAGCTTCTCCGTGACAACTTGTACGAGTTCAGCAAGTTCAATCGGGAGTGCGGCAACTGCCTCATGGGAAGAGCCGAAGAGGGTTTAGGGTTTCGGGTTTAGGGTAGCTTCGTGGAGACAGACATGGCTGTTTTGAAGGTGACGAGCCGTACTTTACCATCGGGCGGCTGCAAAAGATCTCTAGACAGGACGCACGCTTGGATGCTTCTGAAGCTTCGCATGCATTTGAAAGCTGTGAGCAATCGTTTTCAGATCTTGACTGCCTTGGACTACGTGCACTCTTTGCGGCTCATTCACTGCGACTTGAAGCCAGCATGCGCCTCAGCTGCTCCTTCGTCTGATGCTCTCGCACACCGTCTGTCGCTTGCCATGACCAGGAGAACATTCTCATCAAGTCGTACAGCCGATGTGAAGTCAAGGTGCCGGTACCTGCACAAGTCTTGAGGTCTTGAGTACAGCTGAGCCGTCTAGCTAAACATGCTCTCAACTTCAGGCCTTTTCTGGTATCATCTGCTACAGTCCTCGCGTCTTCTATGATGAGCTTGCATCACAACCCTAAAACCCTAATCCCTAAACCCTGTAAACCAGAGGCTCCGGGGCATCGGATTTCCAGTCCCGGGCAGGTTATCGACTTCGGCTCCTCGTGCTTCATCGATGACCACTTGTCTTCCTACGTGCAGTCTCGGTCTTACCGAGCTCCCGAGGCCCAAGAGGGCAACAGCTTATAAAGTCGGAACGGCGCAGTGCAGGGATATCGGAAGAGAGCCTTTACCCCGAAAGCCCTCTGCCTTAAACCGCTGGCCCGACGAAGCCCCTAACCGTTTGCAGGTGATGCTGGGTCTCCCCTACGATCAGAAGATTGACCTATGGTCCCTGGGCTGCATCCTCGCTGAGCTCTGGACAGGCCGGCGGGAGTGAGAATGGAAGCTGAAGTTAGAGCCGTCTAGACCTGTTGGCAGATTTGTTCAAATCTTGTTGAGGTTTTTTGCCAGTTGGGGCTTATGAGGATGTAGGGTTCCGTGGGCACTGTACGTGGTGGTAGTAGCCCAAGTATCAAATCCCTTTCCCTTCGTTCGCGTCCTTTTTCGGAGGCTATGTCTTGTTCCAGAATGACTCGGCACGGCACTCACTAGCGTTTTGCATCTTCAAGTCTTAGACTCGATTTTGTTGTGTTATGTTGCATGGTGTGTCTATTGTGGCACTGAGGTGCAGAGTTTGCTGGCTCGAATTCTGGGCATCATCGGCGAGTTTCCGCTCAAGCCTCACTTGTCCTCATGGGGCATCTGTTACATTTTGCAAGCCCCGGACAAGGGAACCATTTCCTGATGGAGGTATCACATGATGACCAGCGGAAAGTATGTGCCGCAGTACTTCACGCAGGACACCGCCTGACTCAGCTCCCGTTTGTTGAGCTTGAACAATCTGTCTGGTTCTTAGTAGGGTCTAGGGTTATAGGGTTTTAGGGTCATAGGGGTTTAGGGTTTAGGCTTCAGGGCTTAGGGTGTTAGAGTTTAGAGAGTTTAGGGTTTAGGGTTCTTGGGACTACTCTACGGGACCTTCAGGGACTATCATAGGGACCCAAGACTGACATAGAGCTTGGCCAGGATGGACAGCTCTACCAAGAAATTGAGGGAGCGCCGTGTCCGGAAAGAGGACGTCGACTGCATCTTTTGGCGCCTTGAATGGATAGCGTCTTATGGGGGGGTGTAGGGTTTAGGGGTTTAGGGTTTAGGGGTTTTGGTGTTTAGGGTTTCGGGGTCTTATGGGGGTTTCCGAAAATTGGGGGTACCCTTCTTTTGGGGTCCTTATAGTAAGGATCTTACTATTTGGGGACTTGTCTTTGTCATAGTTGGGTAACATTGTACATTTTTGTGGGTACTTAACCCACTCAGGAATAAAAATGTACCTTTTGACCCTATCCCAACCATGAACTAGTTATGGGAGTTTCCGAAAGTTGGGAGTACCTTATTTTGGGTCCTTACAATAAGGAACCCCCACCTTTTTAGGGTACTATGTTGGGGTCCTTATTTGAGTTTAGGGACACCTTATATTGGGGTCTTATGATAATAAGGAACCTATTATTTAGGGTACTATGTTGGGTTCCTCCCATTTGCGGAAACTCCCTAATCGGCTGCATCTTTTCGGTCTTGCTTGTTCGGCTAGGTGCCAAAGAAGACGTCCCTTCGACAGAGAATGCGCCGGGATCTCAGGAAGATGCCGTGCGCGTACCTGTGAAAACATCAAGGCATGCACTCTACCCTACTACCCTATACTACTTGGAGGTTCATGGTTGGTTATAAGTGGGGTTATAAGTCCCCTAATATGGGTTATAATTATGGTTACCCTAATTACAACCCCACTTACTGAGCTCTGCGTGTGAGCCACAGTGACTGAGGCACCGACGACGAGCTGCTGCTGGATTTCCTTGAGAAGCTGCTGCAGTGCCTTGGTTTCCAAGTGCAGGGCCTGCTTCCGTTCCAGTATATACAACCTTCCCAAATCTCCCGAACCGCGTTCTCAGGTTTTCGGGTGTAAGGGGATGCGGAACGGGTTTTGCGAGAGCAGGGCGTGACGTGGTTTTTGTATTGCAGCTGCGAGGCTCGATCCTGCTCAGAGACCAACCGCTGCTGAGGCACATCTGTCCGCTTTCAACAGCCTCGAGGTTGCTCGTTGCTGTCCGTATGGAAGGCCATGGAACATCCCTTCCTTGCGCCGGGCAGGTGCGCTCCATAGAACGTTCAGTGTTGCTTCTATCGTACCACCCCGTAGCATCCAAGCAGTCAAACGCGTCTTGCTTGTACCGAGATATCCAGATGGCCTGTGAGGGCATTCGGAGCAAGGCTATGACTCCTCCTGGCATCAGCGGGCAAAGTCCTGCGCGATCTTGCGAGCTGTGTGATAGTTAATCCGAGTGGGCAACCAGCTACTGCACTGTAAAATAGGGCTTAATTGATTAGAACAGGGCTTTGGGGCCCCCATTTTACCATAGCTATATGAACCCCCAAACTAGTATTGGTAATTATTTAGGCTCCTGTACTACATGTAGCAAGCTTCACGGAGTCTATACTGCTGGCAAGCTTGACAATGGTTATGCGCATGCCTGAAACGACTGGGCAGGGTGCCTCCGCTTGCTTAGAATTAAAACTTGCAAGCATGCCTCTGCGGTTGCTACATATATATATATATATATAGAGAGAGAGAGAGAGCGAGAGAGAGAAATTAGGCATTTTGTTCCGCTTTTTATGTATGCATGTCTATATCTATGTTGATGGTTATTATCAGTGTTGCTATTAGCATAACATTATGGTTTTTTTGGTTCTGATCACTTATATATGTACATGTGCGTGTATATGTCTATGAATATGTATATATGTACATGTATATACCATAGTACGAATATGTATATATATATATGTATATGTATATTCACGAGTTCATACTTATTTATTTGCTGACATATATATATATATATATATATATATATATATGTATATGTATATATATATATATATATATACATATATATATATATATATATCTTGACGGCGCAGTGTCCCTGTTGCTTCGACTGATCATCTGCTGGCGCACGCAGAATCCCCGACTTCACGGAGGATGCGGAGATGTTCTCATGGGTCTCCTCCCCAGCAGTCCCCTAAACCCCAAATGGGAGTTTCCGAAAATGAGGGGTACCTTATTTGGGGGTCCTTGTAATAAGGATCCTACTATTTAGGGTACTATATTAGGGTCCCCTATTTTCGGAAACCCCAAATCCCTAAACCCCAAGACCCTAAAGCCCTAAAGCCCCAAAGCCCTCAAACCTAAACCCTCAATTCCTCAAGCCCGAGACCCTATAAAGCCCCAAAACCCAAAGCCCTAAAGCCCCAAACCTTAGCCGCACTACGTGGTCCCCTGTAGACTGTCTGGTGCTTAGTGGGATCCCTATAGTAGTCCCTATAAAATCCCCACTAATAGTCTCCATAATCCATTCCCCCATTCCCTACTAAGAACCAGACAACCTCCCGGCTCTAAGGCTGGAGTTGGTCTTGGCGAAGCAGAGTCCTACAAGGCCGACTCTGAGAACACTGTTAGGGGGGATCCTTTTTAAGGGTTCCATGATAGGGTGTATATATACATATATATATATATATATATGGTTCCTTTTTGAGGGTTCTATGATAGGGTTTAGGGTTTAGGGTTTAGGGTAGGTTTAGGGTTTAGTATGTTAGGTTTAGAATGGTTTAGGCCTGGGGCTTTGGGCCTAGAGGGATTTTGGGGAATGGGCTTTAGAGGGGTTTTAGGGTTTAGAGCGGTTTAGAGTTTAGGGTTGTTCGGTCTTCATCTGAGGTGATGTGCTCCATGCGGAACTTGGCGGCGAATCAAAAAGATGGCCTCAACAAGCTCAGATTTTGGGGCAAGGCCGGTGCCGTGGCATGTGGGTGGTTGTAGAAATTATGGTCCCTCTTTAGGTACCCTAAATATGAGGTGCCGTATTATAGTAGGGACCCAAAAAGGGACCCTAATTTTGATATCCACCCATGTGATGGGACGTGACCTTTTTCCCTTTTTCAGATCTTCGGGACGGAAGCTGACTACTACGTGGCAGAGGCCTGCGAGGTGTTGCTGCGTAAATGTGTGCGTGATGTTGGAGAGCTCAGGCCCAAAAAGATGGTGGGGAGCCTGACGAAACAGATCCCGATGCAGAACCACCAGGCTACCCCGCAGGGTGGATCTGTAGGAATGCTCCACGGTACCGACAGTTGGGTCCTCTCTTTCGTCCCTGGCCCCACTAATTGCCGCACTGATCGTCATGCCACAGGACAAGGTGTCAACCAGTTTACGTACTATGTGACCAACGACTTGGCCGGCGACTGGCGACGTTTGCCGGACATCAAGCCCAAAGAGGCAGGTGGACTGGAGCTGGTAGAAGAAGTCAGATGTGCAATGCAAGCAGTTTCGCTTCAAGACTGCACTCACTCCTGGCTGCGTGAGCAGATCATCGCGGCGCGTGCCATCAAGAGGCTAGTGACCGGGAACGCTGGCTCCAAGGACACCCTCAGCTGTTGAGTTTTGTGCTCATGTTGATGTGGCCCCGTCCTAAACCCCTACAGCGACAGCCCAATGTCAGCCGACAGCAGGTTATCACACATCCAGCCTTCGAAGGGGCGGAGGAGGCGCATGTAAAGACACGGGAGTTTCAGAGACAGGGTATCTTCCTGCAGACTCTAGACAAAATACAGTGCGACCTTGTTTGCATGAGCCCCACTGTAGCGTGTGTTGCCGTAGCGTGTGTTGCCGATCGGCAGCGTTGAACTCGAAACTGTTGAGACCTACAGCCTACGACGGTTTCGAGTTTGGTGTGCAGTTCCTATCGTAGTGATCCTATGTCGTCCTTGTCTAGCCTGGCTTTCCCTGCAAGCCCCCTGTTTCATGACAGCAGGTCTATCTCCGCGCTCAGATCGCGAGAATTACTGCAGACACCGTCATTTGCATGAAGGGCTACTTGAAGAAGGACCGGTGCCAAGCCAAAATGGTCAATCACTGAAGGCTGCATCGGTTCGCCAAGTGTTTGCTTGCAGGAGGAGGAAGAAGGATCGCCCATCGAGCAGAACGAAGAGTTTGTCTGCCCACCGGCAGCTGAACTGCTGAAAATGGAGGCGCGCACTCTTCACGCTTCGTCTCGCCCTTTAGGGAAAGGAGGGTGCTCCACAGACGGGAAATTGCCAAATTGTTGCCGACCAGGCTTGGACCCACATGCAGTCGGCCCGGCCTGCTGCGCAAGAGCCTTTTTCAGCCCCAAATAAGTGGAAGACGTGCCTTGCGTGGCAGGCCGCACATTCTCCGCAACGGGCGTACCACCCACAAAGAGATTCCAGAGGGTGACACGCCAGAGGAACTCGAGCTGGCAGCGGCGATGAAAGAGGCACGGCCATTGTTTAAGAGTTCAGGGAATGAGTGTATGTTCCGTTAACGTGACATACATACACATCGACATACAAACAAAATACAGCACACATACATATGTACATAAATTCGCCCCCAGGTGGGCCGTGCCAAAAGGAATGCTGGGGTAGAGTAGTCAAGGCAAAGTAAAGTAGTCGAGACAGGAGGCCGGCAGGTATCACCAGCTATGGAAGATATCTCCAGAGTAATACTGAAACGCAAACTCCTAATAATGACAATGCCGATACGGATGTGATTAAGAATACTAATACTAAAATAAAAGAAAATAGCAAGAAGAGTAGCAACAATAGCAACAATACTAGTTGCAGGTATCTGATTAGGCATAGCATTCGCAGCAGTAACTATAGTGACATGTGATTTTTTTGAACGCAGGGGTTCCATGTTGCAGGAGCAAGAAGCAGATCCAGAAAAGGAGGCCTGTGCAATGCCTCGTGCTTTCTGGTGACTCTGCCGGGAGGTTCCGAAATAGGGGACCCTAACATAGTACCTTGAAACAGGAGGATCCGTATGATAATGATAAGGCCCCCCAAAACCCCGAATTTTCGGAAACACCCTAAACCCTGAACCCAAAACTGACCCTGCTAACTTCGGGCCCGGGAGCAGCTAACAGGTCCTACGTGGGCTGCAGACAGACGGGCTGCAGTGGACTATCAAGCAGGTCAGGGGGTTTGGGCTTGGGGTTTTGGGGTCGGTCTGCGGAAATGCTTCCGGAAATCATCCTGGATCCAAGAGAGCCAAGATCTGTCAAGGCCGGCGACCCCACGGTCTACCGTGCTTCAGCTGATCCAGCTGCCCCTCTGAGGTGCATACATTCGACTGAGTCTTGCACCCAGCTCCCCGTAAGTCTTCAAGGTCCAGTGCGGTGACCTACGTCCGCTCCCTCTCCTGGCCCGGTGCAGCGCGCCGCTTGGGAACCGGCGCTCCGAGTCCTCCGCAACGCACTGTGGCAACTCGAGGTCACGGCGGTGCGCAACGGCCAGTTCGCGAGCATTTATGTTGGCAACTCAGTGCAGCTACAGGCACACTATGATTGCCTTGCTCGTCCACTTCAGTACTATTATAATTAGTATCATTATTACTCACTCTTATTATTGCTGTTATTATGACTTGTATTGACACTTGGTGGCTTCACCAAAGTGGAAACGGAGCATCTGCTACGGCTGATGGACAAAATCCTGCATGACCCACTATAAGGAATAGACCATAATTCCCATAGTTTAGAGTCCTTAGGGTCATGCAGGAGTTTGTCAACCGTAGGTCGGATACGGCCTCGCCGCAAGCAGCCCGAGCTTCTTCCCCTTGGCACCTCCAGATGTGCAAGAAGAGCCGGAGGACAGGAGGTTTAGGGTTTAGGCGTTTAGGGGTTAGGCAGGAGGTTTAGGGGCTTACCTGGACCCTAAAGAACCGGCCTTTCTTACTATGGTTTCCTTATATAAGTCCCGAAAAAAGGTAGGCTCTTCAGGGCCCAGGAGGGATTTACATATACCTTAAACCTGCCAGAACCTACTTTGTCGGGGGTCCCTGTAAATTCCATACTAGGGTTTACAATAAGAGCCCACAAAGGAGTAGGGTTTGGTAGGCTAAGGTCCCCAAGTCATCATCGCAATTCCTAATCTGGAAACCCTACACAGTCTACTATATCGGTACATAGGACTCTTTGGGGTAGGGCTGGGGGATCTGCTGTGCCCCTGAAAGGACCCTGGTGAGGTCGAAGAGCCCCAGGGCTCCTTGGAAGAGCCGAAGGAGCCCGAGGAGTAGAGTAAATGCCATGGCCTCGGTGCTGAGATGGGTGGTTGTCAAAATTAAGGTCCCTTTTTGGGTACCCGAAATAATAGGTGACGTATTATAATAGGGACCAAGCCAGGGACCATAATTTTGACAACCACCCATATCATCATTACTATTATGACCCGAAAGCCCCGAGAAATGCTCTGACGAGTGTTGCGGTGGAAGGAAAGATGACCAAGATGCCTGTGAAATCTGCCGATGCAACATGGTCTCCTGGAATGCACGTTGAGTTGAGCCAACTAGCTCAGCTGCAGGTCATTGGGTTTCACATTTGCCTTGAAGATGTTTCACATGCTGTGGGGCAGACGCATGCTTTGAAAGATGGCATGCGCATCGTCCTGTGCAGAAAAGGCTTTGTGTCATTTTGCTGATGCGGGAGGGCCTGTTAGACAACTGTATACTCCATGGTGAGCATGCAGGACGAAGTTGACTTTGGTCCGCCTCAAGACTATATTTGACTCAGTTTCGTGTAGTTGTCAGTTTTGTTGCAACTAGGCCAGCATTTGATGCATGTGCACGATGCCTTATGCACCGCTTCGGCCCTTCTGACCTTGTTCCTTCACGACTGAGCTACTGGTTGGAAAACCCTAAGTCAAGTGGATTCGGGCATTTAGCCGTAGCCGCCAAAGTTATGAAGCGGTCTGAGCTTGAGTCGCTCAGCAATGCTGTCCTGCGTGGATCTGAGACCACATGGCATCCGCCTTATCCGCCATGCTAGAGTACCCTAGCATTTGCAGCCCTGGAGGCGTCAGTTGGTCATCGATGCTACCGATGTACTGGCCACAAGGACCGTACAGACATCGTGCAAGGGCTGCATGATGACGAGCCCTGATGAGCAGGGCTCAAGGAGCCGAAAAAGATGAAGGAACAGCAGACGCCCGAGCTTCCACTCGGAGCAGTTTCCAAAGACTTCGATCTGTGTTAATCCGCAGCGAGGCGAGATCCGGAGGCTTGTTCACTTTCGGTTTGGCCAGCAATTCAAGCAGCACGGCATCCGGCTCTGCGCCAGCTTTCGGCGGCACGGGCCCCGGACAACGCAGATTTTCCTCAGTCTTTGTTGTTCGGAGTCCAGTTTGCAATATTTCATAACCAGGATTCGCGCTTGCCTGAGAGCTCATTTCCGAGGTAGCTCCATATTCGGTGGCCAATCTGCTCTGCTCTTAGATCCCGAAACCCATAAAACCTAAGCCCTAAAGAGACTAGTCAAGAGATTCGTCTCCCGACAGCTGGCCCTTCTGAATTCTGCTACTTCAGTGCCACATCTTCCCAGTTTGAAGGCACCTTCGAGTGGGCATTATTGGCACGGGAGCGGGCCGTGGCCTTATCTGAGCCTAACCGAAACCCTAAATCCAAAACCCTAAACAATAAACCTTACCTAACCCCCCCCCAAAAAAAAACAAAGTACGTAAAATAATGGCCCACCGCCCATAAAAGGCTGTTATTCTACAGGCTTCTCGGGTCCAGGTAAAGCCGCTCTCTCTGAGGTCCAAGCTCTTCGGTGGCACGGGCGGTGGCCTCTTCTCGTTCAACAGTTCCTTCTCGCCAGCTCCAGGCTGCATTGATCTTAGGGGTTTAGGGTTCCTTGAAAGGGATCTATAGGGGTTTAGGGTTCCTTTAGAGGGATCTTTGCCTTTGGTTAGTAGGGAATGGAGGAATGGGGTATAATTATAACTACTATTACTACCATTCCTCCATTCCCTACTAACCAAAGGTAAGTGATGTAATAACAGCTTGTATTACTATATTGTTTTATGGCTATATTGTTTCATTACTATGTTGTTTATTACTGGTACCAAGTGTCCAACCCGCCCTCAAAACGAAACACGTGCGCAGGCGCAGGCGACACAGATGCAGGCGCAGGCGCAGCCAAACCAGTCGACAAGGCTCTGCACGGCTTAGAGTTTAGGGTTTGGGCTCCTTTATCATGATTCCTTGATATAAATCCTCAAAACGGTAGGTTCTTCGGGGTTAAGGTAGGGTTTAGGGGTTCGACATGGTTGTGAGTGTCTCTCCCAGCTCGGTGGCGCAGGTCGATGGTGATGAGGATGACGAGGTCGACGAAAACGAGCTTGTCCAGGAAGAAGAGGCCTCAATTAAGGCATATACCTTAAATTATAGTAGGATCCCTAATATGATTTAAGGAATATTCCTTAATTAAGGGCCTCAATCCGAAGCTCATTGCACTTCCAGGAAGGTGAAACCACAAGCTGGAAGGTACTAGCTGTGAAAGGCTGGACGCCTTCAATGACACTTGAGGCCAAGAAGAAGTCATCTTGCTCTGGGCTTTAGGGCTTTAGGGCTTCCAGGTGCTGTCAGAGGATGTTCAGCTACTTTGAAGGTCCGTGACGACCTTGAAACCGGAGAAGAGCGGGAGGACTCGGATCGGCTTCACGTCGTCCTGGACTGCCTTTGCCTGATCTGATGTGACGAGGAGGAGCTGTACTGCCAACGCTCCAAACTCTACCGGTTTCGCGACGCTGAATGGAAGGAGAAAATCACAGAGAATCAGCTAAGAGACGGGGCTCACAATATGAGTATAATTATAACTCTAACTCTGTTTCTGATCTTTCAGCGTGTAGGATGTGTCCCGAGAGCTTCTTGGCTTGCAGGAGCGCGGCGTGGGCGACGCCAAGCTTCTGAAGCACCAGGTCGCCTACTTGGCTGTCTTGGGGGGGTGGATCACAGTTTTAATTGACAGTAATCTGAGTAATAGTCATAAGAAGGATGCTGAGAACAAGACTAGGAATAAAAGTTGCATGACTCAAACTAAAACAAGAATAATGATAATGATACCGGTACTGATCATGATAATGATACAGTGATAGTAGGACTGAGAAGGTGTGTTTTGTCTGGATTGCATCTTTGAAGCGTCACTGGGTTCTGCGAAGCTTGTTTTGACGTGCAGCGCGCCTTGCACAGTTCAAGTTCGATTGAAGAGTTCCCAGCTCTCTAGGTGAACGGCAAGATCCGCTTCCTGTTGAGGCAAGAGAGGACTGGCAAGGCAGGGATTCGACTCGACGCCGCCACTTCAGCTCCCATGAAGGTAGTTTGAAGTTTGGGGCTTTAGGGACTTTAGGGTTTGTCAAACATCTAGAGAAGCCATTTAGGATACTTCGCGGTCAGTTCGGCTTGATGCCTCAGGCCAGCTGAAGCATACGCACAAACTCAAGAGCAGGTTCCCAGAGAGCCCAATACCCCTTAATTAAGGAATATAGCTTAAATCGTAATATGAAGCCCCTTATAATTTAAGGTATATTGCTTAATTTAGGGTATTGGGCTTTCTGGGTTTCTGCCACCTCAACCTCCCCTGCACCCGCCCGCGACCTTTTTGCATGGAGGGCCAAGGTTCCATGCCCGCAGCGCCTTGTAGAATTCTACGGCGTCCAGGAGACCTATAAACCCCCAAAAGTACGTAAAAAAAATGGCCCAACACCCATAAAGGCAATTTTTCTAGATACCTTTAGGGTCCAGGGAAGGCTTTGTCTACGGAAAGGACGGAAGCGGACAAAGTTGGCCAAGACATCGCACCCTCCGAATCATGTTGTCTATGCGCCAGTAACAGCCAATCAAACTGGGCTTTCAAGTTCTGGATTTGAAACAAAAGGCAGGGTGCAGAGAGCTGCTGAAGAAGCATAACAGTAATACGTAATAACAACAATAGCAATGATTACAACAGTTCTAGTTCTTAGACAATAAACACTAACACTAAAAACTTCTAAACATGTACTAATACTAATTGTAAAAAAACAGCTAATAATCATAATAACAACAGCAACAGCAACACCAGTAAAATACCAAGACCACTAATTACGGTAGAAGCAGGTCATGAAATGTGAAAAGGGTGAACACGCACTTCTTACACCAGATCGGTGGGTGCCAGAAGCATGAACCCAAGAGGTGGTCGCCAACCACTTTCTCGTTGATGTTCCGTCGCTTGCTCAGAAGTTGTCGAATGCAGGGCTAGTTCTGCCTCGAACTGGGAGAGTGGAACGAGGCCATACTGTCAACTCGAAAAGAATGCCGGCAGTGAGACAACCTGGGTGTGGTGTGCCATGGTGCCTCGGAGTGAATCCACCAGAGCTTTCCGCGTGAAGCTTCCGTTCCCGCCTCTCCCAGGACTTTTCTGAAGACAGTGCCTTGGTGGCAATTTGATAAATCTTGAATTTCCCTTTATGGTTTCTATAGAGGTACCTATGCATAAAATCTTATAAACCCTAAGCCCCTAAACTGCAAAAATATGTTGAGGAAATGAACCCAGGTGCTCAGATGGAGCAGTTTGCCCTCAGATTTCGGGATGCAGAGCTGGCAGAGAAGTTCGCTCAGGCCAGGGCGCCAGGATCAGTGCCCCAGTAAAAGAATTGTGATAATGGTAATAATAGTGATAAGGTTATAAAGTTATAATAGTGATAGCAATATGCATAGTACTAATAATGTAGTAGTAGTAGTACTACTACTACGACTACTACAGCGACGACGACGACGACGACGACTACTACTACTACTACTACTACTCTTACTACTACTCTTACTACTACTACTACTACTACTACTACTACTACTACTACTACTACTACTACTACTACTACTACTACTACTACTACTACTACTACTACTACTACTACTACTACTACTACTACTACTACTCCTACTACTACTACTACTACTACTACTACTACTACTACTACTACTACTACTACTACTACTACTACTACTACTGCTACTGCTACTGCTACTGCTACTGCTACTCCTACTACTACTACTACTACTACTACTACTACTACTACTACTACTACTACTACCACTAGTATAATACTAATTTGCCAGGCATTCAACGATGCCAAGAAGCAGAACTCCGCCGGAACCCAGGCCAGAGCATTTCTGCTGCTCCTGTGCAAATCTGCATGGCGGCATAGCTCTGTAAGTGGCAGGACTCCGCGCCGGCAAACAGCTGAGCTGCAAGCAATTAAAAAGACCGTCGTAAGTTTCGGGCGTGTGAAGACGGTGCAAGAGCAGACGAGCTGCTACTGCCCAGGGTTGTCTTGGGGAAGCTCGAGTCCATTGCAGGTTCCTGGCTCCAGCCTGCTAGGAAACCTCATGCCAGGAGGATGTGGCACCGGTTGCGCAAGCTACAAGCTTCAAGAAGCCATGCGGCCCCGTACCAGAAGTACACTGCAAGTGCACGACATGGAGGCTAATATAGTGATTCGTTCACGGGGGAGGCCACTACAAGGTCGATGCATCTAGGAAACACTCCTTATGCCGACTTGTAACTCCCAATGAGGGGTAGTAGTAAAGCCACATGTTGCTTCACACGCCGTTGGTGAGAGGTCGCAACCCCGGAAGGTCTGCACCGGAATTTGCTGCTTGAGCACAGGCGATGGTGATTGGCTTTTGTAACGACCTATAGAGCAACGGCATAAACCTTAAGCCCCTATATGTCCTAAACCCCTTACAGCTTTCCGCATATGAATTTAGCACTTCAGGCATGGGCGGCTCGGACATCGGGGACTTGCACGATTGGCTGGTCGGACCCCTTTTTTGTGGGAGCTGCCTTCAGAGAGCTGAGCGTCTCTCCGGCAAGGCCGGTGTTCGCAGTGCGCCCTCCCGTCCAACATCCTTCAAGCAGGCTGCCCCACCCCTGGGAGTTTCCGATAGGGGTACCTTATTGGGGGTCCTTATAAGAAGGATCCTACTATTTAGGGTGCTATACTCGAGTCCCCTATTTTCGGAAACTCAACCCTAAACCTTAAGGCAGAGACGTCGAGAGATGTAAAACTCCTGGCCAGGGGGATGTCGGGATCCACCTCCACGTCCTCCTTACATGTTTGTTGGGTGTGGTGCAAGTTTCAGAGATGGGTTATTCTTCTCATTATCACTACGTAATGATCGCAATAATTACGACAATTGTCTGATCATGGGAATATGGCGTATTCAATCTTGCCTTCCTTCTCAGGAGTGTACAGTACCAGCTCAGGGATCTGAAAGTATTGTGATGTGAGAGGACGTTGCCTTGGCTTGCGTTGTGCACATTGAGTCTACCAGTTCGTCGGAAATTTACGACGTGGCAGATCGAGTACGATCCGGAAAAGGAACAAGTAATCGATGCAAAGACGCAACATCCTCAGAATCTGCCGCTGGCTGCTGGAAAGAATGGCAGGAAGTCGGAGGGGCACTTCTGTAATTCGGACAACAAATCTGCAAATTGCTGGAGCGAGGTATGAGGTGCCGCCAGCTAAAGCAGATGACTCTGCGCCCCCAAGCTCAGAGGCCAGCATGCACGAACCCACGAAAAGCTGGAGACATGTCCTTTGTACTAGTCTTCCTGTGCGTCGCAGGTCTTGCAAACGATTGAAGACAAGGCGAAGGAGGCCGTGCAGACACCACTGGCTGAACGAGTAGGCAGCCTCCCGTCCGATGTACATATCTTGTTTCACAGGTCCTGGAAGAGAACATATTATGCCGTCAAAAGATTTCCGAGGCGGATAAGCTGCAGACGTCTGAACACTGCCACCTCTTGCAGCTTCTAGTAATCTGTGAGATGGCAGTGGTAGTTGTTAGTCTGCTTTTGCCTTGATGTTGTCGGCTACACCGTCTGAGACAGGTTATCAACGCGCTGCGAAACGCACCCAAGCTGCCCCAGGATGGCACACTCCGAAAGTCTTGGCAAGTCTAGATCAAGAGCATCTGCAACTGCTCGCGCAGGATCTCTTCGGCCCGCAGCAAGCAGGTCAGCATCTCACTGTGCTGCGACCCTCGCACCACCTCAAGATATTTCTCCACATTCTCAAGGCTTATCCCTCAACCCTACAATGCTATCTATCTATATATATATATATATATATGCATGCAGTATGTATGTATGTATACATGTATACATATGTACATATCATCTTACGTGTACATCCATATGTACAAACATACATATACGTGTGCATATTTGCTGTAAGACCCCAATGCGCCCCAACTCTGTCAAGGCATGACTTCTGTCGCATGGCTGTCCATCCTGCCGGCCGGCGTGTCGCCCAGTTGGGAGTTTCTCAAAACTAGATGAGTCACAGGGTTCAGGGTTTAGGGTGCGTTTAGCTCTTAGGATTAAGTCGAGGGCTTTAGGCATTAATCGGGTTCCTTAAAATAGGATACCGTTTTTGGGGTCTGGGGCTTTGCACTGGCTTAACATCCTTTCAGCCTTCATACACTTTCTTAACATGAGACCCTTTTTTTTGGGGGGGGGTAAGGTGCCAGGCCTTTCTAGGGCTTCGTAAATCAGTTACCTTTTCGGGGGTTTAGGGCTTCTTATCATGAAGTCATTTTTGGGGGGGTTAGGGCTTTAGGCCTTTACAGGGCTCCGTAAATGAGTCAGGGGTGCCGTGTTAAGGGTCAGGTTTCATCATTTTTGAGTGTTATATTTTTGCTTAAACTGGGGGTAGTGAAGGTTTCGAGCCCCCTTATCTGGATGACCGGATGTCCTTCATTAGGATCCCAATATGTAGGGGTCAAACTGTGCGAAAAGAAAGATCCTTTTCTTCTTGCTGTGCTTTAGCTAACGTTCTATATTGGGGTCCCCGATTTCCGGACATTCCCGGTTGGGATGGTCATGAACACTTTGATGGGCGCCTGGGATAGGGATTGAAGGTTTAGGGTTTTAGTAAAGGAAGCTTCTCTTGCTTCGATCTTGAATGCAGTACCTGCCCTCAATGCCATTTCCTCGCATTCCTGCCGACAGTGCCGAAACACAGTGCATGGCGCTTACGTGAGCGTCGGTAGGAAGAAAGCTCAGAACCCCCCGAGGTCGGAGAGGCAGAACACCGCAGAAGGCGCGCCCTTTCGCAGATCCGACAGCCCGAAATCCTCCACCCGACACACGCGAAACCCCTATACACCTCACCTACGCCCTGAAGCCCTAAATCTCAAACCGCACATCCCAAACTTCCGAAACCCTGCTACCCTGAACCCCTAAACCAGCAACCCCTGATTCCCTAAGCCCCTAAACCCCTAAACCCCTTAAACCCTAAACCCCTACATGCTAAATCGTATGCCGCTGATCCTGACCAGATGGCGACGGCCCGCGGCTTCCTTTGAACTGCGAAATCTCCAGCAAAACGTCGGGCGTGCATTCATGTTTTCGGGGGTTTGGGGTTTATAAGGTTTATAGGGTTTAGAGGGCTTATAAGGTTTATAGGGTTTATAGGACTGATAAGGTTTATGGGGCTTATAGGGCTTATAGGGTTTATAGGGCTTGTAGGGTTTAAGGTTGGTTTAGGGTTTATATGGTTTAGGGTCGGGGAGCAGCTGCTTCTGTGTGGTATACCTATGGTTCTATTATGGATATACCACACAGATATAAATCAGGTTACGAAAGTAACTAGTAGATAATAGTAGATTGACTCTGGCTACCTGGGATATAATGATAAGGTATGTTGCTTCTACCGTAGCTTGAATCAATTCGTAGCCTGCCTTTCGGTGCGTCGTTCCAATTTTCAAGGCTGAAAACAGCACCAACTGTTGCAATTGGCTTGGTTCAAACTTAAAGCGCCCGCCCTCTCTCGCGAAGTCATGGATGCGGCTCCAAGCGCCAAGCGGCGTCGCCAAAGCTCCGATCCTGCGGTGCGATGCCCAGTCGCTCCGCGCGACCCTGGTTTAAAGACGGCCATTGGGCGAGATCCGAGGAAAACGGCTCGGCATCAAAGCTTCCAATTGCCGCTTTTCGCGAGGACTCGGGGGCTGGAGCGAAGTGATCCTGGCACGCATTCGCTAAAAGCCTGCCTGCCAGGGCATCGTCAATGCCGTCCGACAGCATCGAGTTGTTGTTCTTGTGGGAGAGACTGGAAGTGGAAAGACCACGCAGGCCGGCATCTCTCCCAAGTCTCGCGAGTGCAAAGCTCGGATACAGTAGCGACTCCCAGGTGCCTCGCTTTCTGTATGAAGCCGGCCTCAATGGAAGATCGGAAGCTCACCGAACCATTGCCATCACACAACCTCGGCGAATCGCAGCGATCAGTGCCCCGAGCTGAGAGAGAGCATCCCAGCCAATTTGATGCGATTAAGTGGATGTCAAGGACTTGTGGCTTCTGGGTGAGCCAACTTGATGGAAAGGACTGTGCTGTGCCCAGGTGGCTAACCACGTGGCGTCGGAAATGGGCTGCCAAGTTGGAGGCCGGCGTGCCTCATTGGAATGCACCAGCTCCAGCCGTTAGCCCTATAGTGGTTTCCACAAAGCCCAACCGCATCATATTCCGTCTGGCATGCTGGCATCCCTAAGCCCCTAAAGCCCCAAACCCCTGAGCCTAAAGCCCTATAAACCTTAAGCCCTAAACTTTGAGCCTAAACCCTCCGATCCGGCTTAATGCCAGGCCTTGTCGGCTATCACGTCCGGTTTCTGAACCGGACATCTCGTGAGACGGTGCTCAAGTGCGACCCTCTTTTGAGACCCTGCAAGCACATCGACAGCAAGCAGCAGTTAAGGGTTCAGGGTGTGGGGTAGCGTTGTTCAGGTACATGACAGATGGTATGCTTCTTAGAGAGTCAGCTGGAGAGTCCACAGGCTGGGATGGCTTGAGTGGATACACGGTGTCACAATGTGAGAGCCCCTTCGTTGCTGCAGGCCACAATTCTGGACTTCGTGCTTGTTCCATTGTTGTCCTAGACGAAGCGCACGAGTTTACGGCTTGGAAGATGCTGGTACACAACGAGTAGGTAGGATGTCCGCTTGACAGCTCCAGGCGCAGTATAGACACAGATGTTCTACTGGGTCTGGTGAAGAGGGCGTCACTCTCAGCAGTCTCAAGTGCTCTTAGTCGGGCATCAAACCAAAACCGCCAACAAAGTCGTGGCAGGCCCTGGAGCAAGGCGATCCACCGGATCTTCGAGCTGGGCGCTGAAACGTCAAGACAGTTTGCCACACTGCCAGATGTCTTGCACAATACAACATATAGATGATATAATGTGTTTAATATATATATATATATATATACGCAATATGATATATGAATATGTATGTTGAAATATGATTTATGCTCCGATATCTAAATTGCGATGCTCAGATTGAGTGTTATGAAGATTTTTCTGGCCTGGCCATGCTTGAGGTCGTGGTCATGTCCGCCACAATCCACGCTGCCCCCTTTGTGAACTTCTTTGGTGGACCAGACAAGGCACGCGCTTCATGCACACCGATGTTCTCGGATGTGTAACCCATATTCTCGCCCCTACATGCTATAAACCCTAAACCCAAACCCTAAAGGTACGTTGTTAGGAAGCGAAATCTATCAGAATCGCATCTTTGTGCACAGGTTCCGCGCAGCGATGATTCCTCAACTTGGAGAGTTGTAGGAGCTTCTTTCGGTCTCTGTTCCGGCTTATAATAGATAGTATATAGTATACGATAAGTGGTTAGGCTTCCAGCCTGTTGTCGTAGCCATAGAGCTTCGAACCATGATTCCAGTCGGTCCGTGTACGTGCATACGTGCCGCTTTGCACTTGCAACGCCTGGCAGGTGCACTTGCTCCAGGTCCCGGGACGGCAGCATGCCGTGTCTCTTGGCTAAAGCTTCGCATTTGGGACGTCCGGAAAGGGTAACAGTCACTGCATGCATAGGCAGCTGTACTACGCGCCTTCGCCTGAGCCTGACGTTTTGGAGGCTGGTCGGTTTGACCCAGCTTGCGAATATAAGTCTTGATTCATCATGCTTTTATGCTGTCTGTTGTCTCTGACGAGGCTGCGATGTTGGCAGTTCTTCAATTGCACGTCACTCGCCCTCTCGGTGACATCCTGGTGTTCCTGCCATGGCCTTTGCCAGCCCTTCTTGCTCTGCCACAGCCGCAGTCCTCAATGAATTCAATATGGCTGCCTAAGCCCGAGACCCTAAACCCTATAACCCTAAACCCTATAACTCTTTAACCCTGAACCCTATAACTCTATAACCCTAAACCCTATATCCCTATAACTCTAATTCCTATAGCCCTGAAACCTACCTGTCTATGCAGGCGAAAAAAGGCGTTCAAAAAACAAACCTATCTTCTTTCTCGCTTTGCTTCTGATCTTTCTAGGCCCGGTCAAGAGGAGATCGATGGCCTTCAACGGCTCCTGGAGGAGAAGCAGGAAATTTTGGCGAAGCAGAGGCCTTTTCCCCCCTTTTCAGAAAGACCTGGACCTTGAGGAACCCAGACTTTTCGGACTCCTTCTTAGGATTTCCTTATATGAGTCCTTAAAAGGGTAGGTCAGTTGGGAGATAGGGGAAGTCTTGCACTTTGGGATGCCTCGCCGAGCCCCTGAAAGGCAAGATCATCCGGAAAAGCATGTTCTGGAACGCGCAGGCAGGCATGGTGATTTTCAGATGTTCCCGGAGCCTCCAAAGCCCCTTAGTTAAGGAATATACCTTAAATTATAATAGGGATCCCTATTATAATTTAAGGTATATTCCTTAACTAAGGGGTTTGGGAGGCTCTGGGTTGCCCTGCCCTAGGCAAGGGACCTCGGACCTAGAACAGTCGTGCCTTGGAGGTGGCCAGCCGGTTGCTGTCACTTCGAACGATTGGCCAACGTTCGAGAACGTCAGCCGACGCATTTTTCCAGGTTGTTTTGCTACTTCACAGAGCATGCGCTAATTTCAGCAAGCTGGATTTTGTCAGGCTGGAGCAATAGGACGCAGTATGGTCACTCGTTCGTGCCATAATCGATCACGTGCCAGGTGCCGAACATGGTCATCCGGCCAATCTACGCAGCCTTGGCCTTCGAGCAACAGGCAATTCAGTCAGTGCTTCCTGCTGCTATCGGAGGTCGCCACGGCTGAGCATTATGCCAAGCAGTGTCGTGAGTGCACTGATCTGCGGAAGGCCTTGGTGTTCGAAGCGACTCCGCCTGGGTACCGTCCTGGTGTCGTTTAGACAGTGTCGACTAGAGCCACCTCAGTGGAATGAGGTACCGAAAGGTAGTGTTGGCCACGAACATTGCGGAGACCTCGATTACCATCCCGGGCATCCGCTTTGTCGTGGACACTGGCTTGCAAGTCGTACTGGGCAGGGCGGCGAGGTCGTCTATGCACACGAGTGCAGCGGCAGGACACTGGCATCATGAAGCTGAAGATGTGTCACCCACAGACCGGCATCGACATGCTGAGGCACGTTTAGCGGCGCTAAGGCTTCACCGGTTGACGAGGGTCACCTCATCGCAGTCGCAGGACGGTCGAGACATCACAGGCATCAGCCATTCAGAGGGCGGGTCGGGCAGGCCAGCAGAACTTCTGTACTTTGCGGGGTTGTCTTGGACCCATGCTTAGGCTTAGGGCAGTCTTGAGATGCTTGCGCTCTTCAGGTCGCGAGGCCCCTGGAGAGGTTTTCCGCCTCTACGTTGAGTCCTGGCCTCATGCTGGGCCCCGGCAGTGCAAGGAAGGAGTCGAGCATCTCGGTCGGACGTGGCACGGAGGTCGGACTACCAGAAGATGCCGGTGCAAACACCAGCTGAGATTTTGCGCTTGGAGATGGCATCGGTCTACATCAACTTGAAGGTGCCGACGCTTTGATTCGCTTCAGTCACATCAGTCCAAGACACTCTTCTTAAATCCCTTATAGTAGCGCCCTTATAGGATCCCTTTAAAGGAGCCCTTATACTGTATCCCTTAAAGGAACCCTTTAAAGGAGTAGGTAAGTTGAAGATTGGAGGCTCTTGGGATCTCGAAGATTGCCAGCTTCCCGCTGGTGCCACTCTCGGAGCGTCCTTGGTGCTCTTTCCTGCATGGGAGCTTCCGAAATTAGGGGTACCTTATTTTGGGGTCCTTTTTTGTGAGGATCCCGAAATTAGGGGTGCATTATTTTGGGGTCCTTATAATAAGGATCCTACTATTTAGGGTACTATCTTAGGGTCCCCTATTTTCGGAAACTCTCGCATGACTGGAGACATGGAGGTCGACCGGCCTCCCCGAGAAGCCGTAGAGAAGGCAGCCCATTTCCTCTGTCGGATCGGAGCTCTTGACACGAGAGATGCCGGAGACTTTGATGCCACAAGCTTGTAGGTTTAGGGTTTAGGGTTAGACGCCTAGTAAGCTTAAGTCTAAGTCGTCAAGTTGAACGGTGACCGGTCAAAAATCGGAGTCAGAGCCGAGGTCCTGACTGACCTTGGGCGAAAGCTCGCGGCGATGCCTGTACATCCATCGTGCGCGGACACCATTCGCACTGAGGAATTGCCTCTGCCTTAGCCATGTTTCAAGAACATGTGCAATTTGCAGGTACGCCTACTGTCTCCATGTTTCCCTGGAGTTTGAATGCACGGCAGAAATCTTGAGCCGAAAGCTGAGAACCGTTCAAATGGGAGGAAGTTCAGTTTAACCTGGGGCGCAAGATCCCACGTCATGATCCGCCTTCTGCTAGGCATCGTTGCAATGCTGTCGGCAGATGCGCAAATCTTCACCACCTCCAAGAAGGGACGCCCCACACTCAGGGCCGGCTGCTCCCTATCTACTACTACCTCCTATTACCACCACGACAACGACCACGACCACTGCCAGCGGCAGCGGCAGCAGCAGCAGCAAAATCCACCACCACCTCTCCTGCCGCTCTCTGACTGTTGTTGACAGTGTTGGTCAGGGCGTTTGGATCTCACCGGCACGTGGACCGAGCTCAGGCAGTGCCCAGCAGGCAAAGCCCTACCAGCACCAGGAGCTATAGTTGGATGTTCGTGAGACCTCTGCGGGCAGAGGGCTGGCCGTGCAAGGATGGGGATCACCTTTCACTTCTTTCGGCTTTCCGAAGTTGGCGAAAGCAGAAGAAGCCCAAGGCCGGGTTTGGGGGGGCGCTTGCATCATGCAAAGATTTCGGAGAGTAGTTCTGTCCCCAAACCTACCTTAACCCTGAATAACCTACCATTTTAGGTTCCTTATTACGATTTCCTTATATAAGTCCTTGAAAAGGTAGGTCCTTCAGGGTTAAGGTAAACTCTAAACCGTCTAAACCCAATCCGCTGCAAGGCCTATGCCGCCGAAAACTGCCTCAGCCACTCGGCATTGGAAAAGGCGGCCCAGCCCTCAGGGATGCCTAGGGGTCCGCAGAGCCAAGACCAGCATTTCCTAAGGAGAACATTCGGAAGCAGCTGAAGGAAAGGATGCAGCAGGCCCCGGGGGAAGGGTCCCTACTGCAGGGTGAAATTCCAATGCAATAGATCGAAACATTGCATATAATATAATAATGTACAAAATATCATAATATAGTAACATAATAATATAGTCTTAGGTCCATGGATCACGCTGGACACTTAGCACAATGCAACATAGTATGGGATGTCGCAGGCATGGAATGCGAATGTTTCAAGCTGCGGCGAGTCGGGACCTCGGCGGGCGGACCTGAGAAGAAAGCAGATGAGTTGTTTTATAGATTGCTATTATTTGTTATTATTGAATTGTTGCATGTTGTTATTTCATTTCGATTGTTGCGACTCTTTCTAGGCCCAAGAATTGGGCCGTGGTGCGAAGATGCCTTCTGAAGGCCGCTCATGGTGCAGATCTTATCTGTGCATCTTTTGAGCTCTTGCCTGGCAGGGCCTGTTCCTTCAAACGGCACAGCGAGACGAGGTGAACCAGAATTTGTACAGAACCTTGCTTTCCAGACAGGCGCGCTGCCAAAAAACCCTAAGCCCTAAACCTTATGATTATCACTACTATAGTATGATTATTACTGGTATGATTAGTATTACTGTCATTATTATTACAGTATTTCTAGTATGATCATTACTACTATTATGCTTAGTAGTATGATTATTCTGAGTATTCTTAGAGATCTTACTACATTATTTCATGTTGAACCCCGGAACCCGTTGACATGCAGCCCGCGCCAGAGGAGGCCAAGCTCCACCCCTCCAGCGTTCTTCACCGTCGTCAGCCGCCACCGTCACCTCGGCCTGTCCAGATAGGGTTCAGGATTTAGGGTTTAGGGTGTAGGGTTATAGGGTTGTAGGGTTCGGGGTTATAGAGTTATAGAGTTATAGGGTTATAGGGTTTAAGATTTAGGGTTTAGCGTTTTAGTGTTAAAGGGATATAGAGTTATAGGGTTATAGAGTTATAGGCTTATAGGGTTTAGGATTTAGGGTTTAGGGTTACCTGTCATGTTTGATATGTTTGGAAGATGTGAAAGTCTAGGAAGTGAGGAACTCTACATAACTCTACTATAGACCCAAATAGAAGTAGGATCCTACATGAACCAGCGCAGTCTGGCTTCTGAGTGGTCTCAGGTCTTGTGTTGTCTATTCCGACCTGGTGGTGACCAGCAAGACCTACTTGCGAACCGTCACCGAGGCTGCCCGCCACGTCGGCCATGACACACTCCTGTTGCATGTGGGTGGTAGTCAAAACTAAGGTCCCTTTTTGGGTCCCTATCATAGTACGGCACCTAATATTTAGGGTACCCAAAAAGGGACCTTGATTTTGACAACTACCCGTTTGCCATCATGGTAGCTGCTGAGCAGAGTTCCTGTGGTGCCGATTTGAGCTAAAGCAGGAAAGCAAGCATGGTGATCAGCTGGATGGTAGTACAGTTGCATGCTGCGCCTGGACTGATGCTTTGTCAATTAAGGAGTGTCAGGCTGGCTGCGAGTTGCCACCTGCAGGTATATCTGTAGCAGACATCGAACTACACAGTATGCTGCACTTCCCTTCAGTCCCGAAGAGCCTGTTCGCTTGACAGATTTTCCATTCAAGCGAAGCGCTTTTGTCGTGGCTCTGCAAACCTGCGTGTTGGTGAGGTGCAAGGCACGTGCTCAAGCCACCAGAGTTGCCGTAGCCAGATTTGAAGAGGGTGGTGGCCACATTTTCCTGAGAGGGAGGGTCAAAGTCCCATGCTGAGCCTGAGCCTCTCTAATTCAGTGCATCCTTCGGCGCAGCCGAAGCCGGGCCCATCAAATCAGCTCGGACAGAGCCAACCAGCATGCTCCAGCCGGAAGGCGCCGGCAAATCTCACAGTTGCTGCTTCCTTGGCAGCTGGGGCCTTTGTGACAGAAAGGCGCCAGGCACGATGGCGGCGGAGCTCCGTGCCTGTCAGGGCTGTCAGGTCAGAAACTGACATCTTCCAAAAATTCGAAACCCTGACAGCAACCAAGCAGTTGGCAGAAAGATCTGGCGATCAAGAAGTGGTGAGCCGGATCGACGCACTCCTCAAGCAGCACGAAGAGAGCAA